ACACACACACACACACACACACACACACACACACACAGGCTGTTTAATTAAAGTTCAAGTAAGCCAAACATCAGTTAGATTACTCAGCTAAAGTAGAATAGCTGAGTAAAACTGTTTCTTGACAAAGCATTGTATACTTTTTCGGACATGATACCCAGCTAAGGGTGTTCTCCCTTTGCTTCAGACATAGTGAGTCATCCAACTTCCCTTTAACAGCAAAATGAAGGGGATCCCTGGGTGGCTCAGTGGTTTAGCGCCTGCCTTTTACCCAGGGTGTGATCCTGGAGTCCCAGGATCAAGTCCCACATCAGGCTCCCTGCATGGAGCCTGCTTCTCCCTCTGCCTGTGTCTCTGCCTCTCTCTCTCTCTCTCTCTCTCTCTCTCTCTCTCTCGGTGTCTCTCATGAATAAATAAATAAAATCTTAAAAAAAAAAGCAAAATGAAGAAAAAACATTTATGAAAAATTGGGTTTAATATTCTGACATACACAGTTGAAACTGGAAAGAGCTGATACAAATTACCTCTTTTAGACTAATCCTGGAGAATTCTAGGAAAAAATTAGGTACTTTATTGTTAAACAGTATTAATTGCTTCCTTTTCCTCAATATAAGACCCAGCACCAAATAAAGTAAAATGTGCATGGATGCTGTTGTTTTGAAATGTCATTATCAATGATGACTCTTGCTACCTACTTAAAATGTGGATTAGATAGAGTCTTCATACCAGGATTTAGGGGAGTGTGCTATAATAGGCTAGGCAATCTCAGTGAGTTGGTAAAAACTAGATTCAGAAAAAGTAAGTAACTTGTCCAGGTCACACAGGTAGTAAATGTCACAGCCCAGATTAGAATGCAATTCATTAGATTCCAAAGCCTGTACTCTTTATGAAATAACACAAAGCTATTTATGTTACTTTGTAGACTTTGGAGTGCATCCTATGATCCCACAGAAATAGGAAATTCATCTCCATAACTCTTTTATGCCCTGATTAATGTTTAATTTAGTCTGCCTTTCTGAACCACTACAGTTTGATGGTAGCACTGATGATCAGTGATATCTTTAGTCACAAATGGAAAACTGAAAGCACATTTTATAACATGAATTTTGTTATCAAAAATATCTCTCAAGTGGCATCTGGATGGCTCAGTTGGTTAAGCATCTGCCTTTAGCTTAGGTCAGGATCCCAGAGTCCTGGGACTGAGCCCCTCATCAGGCTCCTTGCTCAGAGAAGAGCCTGCTTCTCCCTCTCCCTCTGCCTGCCACTCCCCCTGCTTGTGCTTTCTTTTTGTCAAATAAATAGATAAAATCTTTTTTTAAAAATCCATGAAAATGAAAACCCTAGGATACTTTCAGTTAATTCTTAAAAACATTATTGGATTATGGAAAAGAGGGAGAGGGGGCGCCTGGGTTGCTCAGTCGGTTATACATCTGACACTTAATTTTGGCTCAGGTTGGGGAGCCTGCATGGCTCAGTGGTTGAGCATCTGCCTTTGGCTCAGGTTGTGATCCTGGGGTCCTGGGATCAAATCCCATAGTGGGCTCCCTGTGGGGAGCCTGCTTCTCCCTCTGCCTATGTCTCTGCCTCTGTGTGTCTCTCATGAATAAATAAAATCTTAAAACAAATTTTTTTTTGGCTCAGGTCATGATCTCAGAGTGATGAGATCAAGTCCTACATTTGGCTCTGCACTTGGCATGGAGCCTGCTTGGAATTCTCTCACTCCCTCTCCCTCTGTCCCCACTCTTCCCCCCTGGTGAATGTACTTGCACGGACGTTCACACACACACACTCTAAGAAAAAAAAGATTACTGGATGATGGGAAACAAGAAGCCATCCACCCATATTCAGGAAAAGAAAATCCTTTAACCTAGTTGAAAAATACAACCTGAATTTGTCTTAGAACTTTTCTCCAAAAAAAAAAAAAAAAAAAGTTTAAAAAAAAAAAAAGGGCAGCCCCGGTGGCGCAGCGGTTTAGCGCCGCCTGCAGCCTGGGGTGTGATCCTGGAGACCCAGGATCAAGTCCCACATCAGGCTTCCTGCATGGAGCCTGCTTCTCCCTCTGCTTGTGTCTGCCTCTCTCTTCACTCTCTCTGAATGAATAAATAAGTAAATCTTTAAAAAAAAAAAGTTTAAAAAATAAAAATAAAAATAAAAAAGAACTTTTCTCCTTTCTTTTATTTTTTTATTTTTAACTATAATTTTTTTTTTTATTTTGTTTATGATAGTTACAGAGAGAGAGAGAGAGGCAGAGACACAGGCAGAGGGAGAAGCAGGCTCCATGCACCGGGAGCCCGACGTGGGATTCGATCCCGGGTCTCCAGGATCGCACCCTGGGCCAAAGGCAGGCGCCAAACCGCTGCGCCACCCGGGGATCCCTCTCCTTTCTTTTATTTGCACTGATGATCTCTCCATGAAGGGGTAAGAGGTAGGTAGAATGGCTTCATGTGAAAGACAACACTGGAGAAATCAGCTCTATTATGTGATAGTTTAGCAATCTTAATTTATTTGTCAATATACAGAAGAGAGAAACAATAAGTTTACTAAAAGTGACACAACATATCACATAAACCCATGGGAACCAAGACTAAGAAGCTGTATCCTGGGGATCCCTGGGTGGCTCAGCGGTTTGGCGCCTGCCTTTGGCCCAGGGCGCGATCCTGGAGTCCCTGGATCAAGTTCCGAGTCAGGCTCCTGGCATGGAGCCTGCTTCTCCCTTCTGCCTGTGTCTCTGCCTCTCTCTATCTATCATGAATAAATAAATAAAATCTTTTAAAAAAAAGAAGAAGAAGCTGTATCCTAAATATCTTCAACTTTGCTTATCATTTCAGATCAGGGTCTGAAGAATTTCAATAATTAGATTACCAACACTAGCTCTTTTATATGCTTGTGAACATATAACTTTACTGGCTTCTAAGGATTTTTGGATTATAAAGGCACTTGTTTTAATTATTGTGGCCTGAACCACAACAAATCCAAAAGGCTGTGGATGTTCTGATTACACGTATATGTATATTTAACCTAAACTTTGAATCAAGCTGAAAACAAAGAACAGTGATTTTAAATGATAGTTGATGACCGGGACACCTGTGTGGCTCAGTGGTTGAGCGTCTGCCTTTGGCTCAGGGAATGAACTGGATTCCCGAGATCGGGCTCCTTGCATGGAGCCTGCTTCTCCTTCCTCTGCCTGTGTGTCTCTGACTCTCTTTCTGTGCCTCTCATGAATAAGTAGATTTAAAAAAAGCTTAAAAAAAAAAAAAAGTTGATGGCCTATAAAATGAAGATCACTACTGCCCCCTTGAGGGCATAACAAAATAAACTTTCTTTGAGAAGTTCTATTTTCATTTAATACTAGCTATTATGGAAGTCCTTTTTTTTAATTTTTTTTATTATTATTATGGAAGTCCTGCTATAAAATGGAAATACAAAGTCTCAAAACCTCATAAAGTATGTATTATTATAGCCCAGTTTTGTAGATAAGAAGGCTTAGAGAAGTAAAAGTTTTCCCAAGGTCAAGTATGTAGTCAATTAATAAATCAGTATTTGAATGCAGTTCTGAATGTAATATGTATATTGTGTATATGCTCTCTCTCTCTTTTTTTTTAAGATTTTATTTATTCATGAGAATACACAGAGAGGAGAGAGAGAGAGGTAGAGACACAGGGAGAGGGAGAAGCAGTCTCCATGCAAGGAGCCCAATGTGGGACTCGATCCCGGGTCTCCAGGATCAGGCCCTGGGCTCAAGGCGGCACTAAACCGCTGAGTCACCTGGGCTGCCCTGTATATGCTCTTTCTATTTTACCACACTGCCCTTCAATAATAACAGCTCATTCAAGATCTTTCTTTGATGTTATACAAACTTAACCAGGAACACAGTGTCTTATTTTTAACTGAAAGTCAGAAACAAAAAGAAACCAAGTCAGTTGGAAAATTTATTTGAGGAAACAAATTCCCTCAACGTAAAACAAATATTTGTAAAGAAATGTTGAAAATAGCTCAATTAAAAAAAAAAAAAAAGCTCAATTTAAAAAAAAAGGGGGGTGGGCAGCCTGGGTGGCCCAGCGGTTTAACGCCACCTGCAGTCCAGGACCTGATCTTGGAGACCCGGAGACCTGAGATCTAGTCCCACGTCGGGCTCCCTGCATGGAGCCTGCTTCTCCCCTCAGCCTGTGTCTCTGCCTCTCTTTCTCTCCCTCTCCCCCCCCCCCTCTCTGTCTCTCATGAATAAATAAATAAAATCTTTATTATTTTTTTTAATTTTTTTTAAGATTTATTTATTTATTTATTCATTCAGAGAGAGCGAGAGAGAGGCAGAGACACAGGCAGAGGGAGAAGCAGGCTCCATGCAGGAAGCCTGATGTGGGACTCGATCCCGGGTCTCCAGGATCACACCCCGGGCTGCAGGCGGCACTAACCCGCTGCGCCACCAGGGCTACCCATAAATAATATCTTTAAACAAATAAAAATAAAATAGCTCAATTTGCTCCGTTTTAGATAGATGTTTTTGTTAAAAACATACAGATCTCAAAATGTGCTTTTTTCTCTATTTTGTTACTCATATTCCCATGAACAAATCAAAGTTCTTATACTCTATTCAAATATCACATGTACCTCTTTTATATCAGCACTCCAATACCCATTTACATTTATTCTGGTTTATCTGTCACTGTTTTAAACTATGAATATTTAACTATTTTCCTAAGCGGTACTATATTGAAGCACCCTTATGTTTTTATTTTGTGGTCACATAAAACCCTTCCACAGATTAATCTGTAAAATATTTTACTTTTAACATTGTAAACACTCATGTATAATCCCTATGTATGATTCCCCCTTTCCCTCAGGAAGAATAAATGCATTAGCTTTAAAATCTATTATAAATTTTCTGTGGAGAATATTTTAATGAATGAGTGGGTATCAGACAGGGTATCCATTCATCGCACAGGAAAAACTGGGGTCCTGTTCATTTTAAGCCTAAAATAAATGCCACGTTATCAGAATACTACCTGAGGTTGTTTTGGTGTTGGCTGAAGAAACAAGGCTAGCAAGGTTGACAACTTCTCCAGATGTGAAGATGAATGGGGCAGTCACAGTCACAGGGTTGGCTCTCTCGGGATTAGCATTCACCTGATTCCGCATCGCTTCCTGCAAAACAGGGTAGAATATTTCAAAATCAGAACTTGTTAGCCTTAAACAGTTACTGAACAGCCACCCTCACCCCAATGCTCTATCGAGCATAACTAGTTGTGGCACATGGTGTCCCAGGGAACTCAGAGTTCTCATTAAGGCTACTGTTTTTCTTGTTTTGTTTGTTTTTCTAGATCAGGGCAACAAAGATGTTAAGATGCTTTCCAGGGTTATTTCTAATTTACAGAAAAAAAGCATTATTGTTTGCAAAACTTCTAGGCAATTCACTTAACTTGTCTGGAACTTGTTCTTATTTGGAAAATGAAGAGAGTGGTCTAAAAAGTAATTTTTAGCACTTATATTCTATGATCAATTATGTAGAAGTCAATGTGCTAGTAGGAGATCCCTGCAGCAAATCTACAGAGAACAATATTCTCCAGAGTTTTTCCAATTACTTGTTCCATTTTGCTACTGAAGAAATTCCTAAGAGAATATATAACATGCAAATAAATGAGTGCCAGATTTTATTTATTTATTTATTTATATTTATTTATTTTTTTTTTAATTTTTTATTTAGTTATGATAGTCACAGAGAGAGAGAGAGGCAGAGACACAGGCAGAGGGAGAAGCAGGCTCCATGCACCGGAAGCCCGACGTGGGATTCGATCCCGGGTCTCCAGGATCGCGCCCTGGGCCAAAGGCAGGCGCCAAACCGCTGCGCCACCCAGGGAGCCCTATTTATTTATTTTTTAAAAGATTTTATTTATTTATTCATAAAAACAGAGAGAGAGAGGCAGAGACACAGGCAGAGGGAGAAACAGGCTCCATGCAGGGAACCCGACGTGGGACTCCATCCCAGGTCTCCAGGATCACACCCCAGGCTGCAGGCGGCGCCAAACCTCTGCGCCACTGGGGCTGCCCGAGTGCCAGATTTTAAAGTCTAGTTCCATATGTTACATTTCTGCTTCCAGGGATAACTGTACAATTTAGGTACGAAGATGCTTATCTTTTATTTTATAACGTTCAGAAGCAGTGTTCTACAAACATGATATCTACTTAAGAATTCCAATTACTGGGGCTCCCTGGGTGGCGCAGCGGTTTGGCGCCTGCCTTTGGCCCAGGGCGCGATCCTGGAGACCCGGGATCGAATCCCACGTCGGGCTTCCGGTGCATGGAGCCTGCTTCTCCCTCTGCCTGTGTCTCTGCCTCTCTCTCTCTGTGACTATCATAACTAAATTAAAAAAAAAAAAAAAAGAATTCCAATTACTAAGTGCTTTAAATAAGAATTGAAAATTGAAGAGGACAACCAGTCTATACAGAACCATCTGTCAAGAAAAAAGAAATAAACAAACAAACCCCTGAAAATGCAGCTATATAGCTACCTATTTTTTATATATAATTATGTCTTTGACTAAGAGCCTCAGTTGAAAGAGAATACCCATTCTCTGGTTACTGTTAAATTCTTCCTGAATCTGCCCTTTCTTCTATCTTCCACTATTATTTCCTTAATTCAAGCCCTCACTGGGTCTTGCCTGGCCTAATGAAAGTCACCATATGGTTATTTGGCATTAAGTGTCTTTTCTTCCCAGTCTGTACCACAGTCCAAACAATCATCTTTAAAAAGGGGACAGGGAGTAGGGCTCAGCAGTTGAGTGTCTGCCTTTGGCTCAGGTTGTGATTCCAGGGTCCTAGGATCAAGCCCCTCATTGGGCTCCTCACTGGGAGTCTGCTTCTTTCTCTGCCTGTGTCTCTGTCTCTCTTTGTCTCTCATGAATAAATAAATAAAATCTAAAAAAATAAAGAAATAAAAAATTGGGGCATCTGGCTAGCTCAGTCAGTACAGCATCTGACTCTTAATCTCAAGATCATGAGTTCAAGCCCCATGTTGGGACAGAAGCCTACTTAAAAACAAAACAAAACAAAACAAAAAATGAATCATCTCAATCTTCTATTTAAAAGCTTCTACTGGGGATCCCTGGGTGGCACAGCGGTTTGGCGCCTGCCTTTGGCCCAGGGCACGATCCTGGAGACCCGGGATTGAGTCCCATGTCAGGCTCCCGGTGCATGGAGCCTGCTTCTCCCTCTGCCTATGTCTCTGCCTCTCTCTGTGTGTATAAGAATATTACCTGATACATGAATAATAAATAAAATATTCTCATGAATAAATAAATAAAATCTTAAAAGAAAAAAAAAAAAGCTTCTACCGGATCCTCATTGCCCACCAAACAGTCCCAACTCCATTGCATGCCATGCAATATTCCTACATTCAAAACCCAGCCTAACCCTTTTTTTTTTAAATTTTTATTTATTTATGATAGTCACAGAGAGAGAGAGAGAGAGAGAGAGAGAGAGAGAGAGAGAGGCAGAGACACAGGCAGAGGGAGAAGCAGGCTCCATGCACCGAGAGCCCGACGTGGGATTCGATCCCGGGTCTCCAGGATCGCGCCCTGGGCCAAAGGCAGGCGCCAAACCGCTGCGCCACCCAGGGATCCCCCAACCTAACCCTTAAACCTTAGCTCCTGCCACTCCCAAACTCTACTTCCTTTGCTCAATCTCTAGTCACAGAACTTACTCTTTCCTGAACATTACACTCCTTTCACACTTCTATGTCAGTGATTTGCTCTTTTTCTAGCCTAGACTATCATTTTCTTACTTCTCCTTCAGAACTCAGTTAAAAAAAAAAAGAACTCAGTTCAGGGGCACCTAGGTGGCTCAATCAGTTAAGCATCTGCCTTCGGCTCAGGTCATGATCCCAGAGTCCTGGAACTGATCCTTGCTGAGTGGAAGCCTCCTTCTCCCTCTCCCTCTGCCATTTCTCCCTGCTTGTGCTCTCTCTTTCTCTCTCAAATAAATAAACTTTTAGGGGTGCCTGGGTGGCTCACTAATTAAGTGTTTGCCTTAGGCTCGGGTCATAATCTCACGGTCCTGGGATCAAGCTCCAGGTGCAGGGCTCCCTGCTCAGTGGGGAGTCTGCTTCTCTCTCTGCCTCTGCCCCTCCCCAACTCATGCACACAGTCTCTCTCTCTCTCCTTCAAATTAATAAACAAAATCTTTTAAAAAGTCATTTATTTATTCATGTGAGACACAGACTGAGAGAGAGGCAGAGAGAATTAATTAAGAAATTAATGGGTAAAATCATCACAGATACTTTTTAAGATGGCTTCCTTGGGATCCCTGGGTGGCGCAGCGGTTTGGCGCCTGCCTTTGGCCCAGGGCCCGATCCTGGTGACCCGGGATCGAATCCCATATCAGGCTCCCGGTGCATGGAGCCCGCTTCTCCCTCCGCCTGTGTCTCTGCCTCTCTCTCTCTCTCTCTCTCTGTGACTATCATAAATAAATTAAAAAAAATTAAGATGGCTTCCTTATGACTCAATATGCGTTAGATTTACACTAGACTTATGTACTGACTCATAAGAGTTGATGTATATTCAGAAAACATAAAGAGACTTTTTAAAAAATTTATTAATTTAAGCAATCCCTACACCCAACATGGGGCTTGGACCCACAACCCCAGGATCAAGAACTGCACACTCTACCAAGTGAGCCAGTCAGGTACCCCAAAGAGACTTTTTCATATTGTCCCAAGTCAAGCTCAATTAGAAAGGGAAATTTTCAAGGCACCTGAGTAGCTCAGTCAGTTGAGGATCAAACTCTTAGATCTCAGCTCAGGTCATAATCTTGGGGTCATGGGATCAAGCCCTACTTGTCCCTCTCCTTCCCCCTCTGCCTTTCCCCAACATGCTCTCTGTCAAATAAGTAAATAAAATCACAAAGAAAGAAAGAAAGAAAGAAAGAAAGGAGGGAGGGAAATTTTCATAGAGTAAAAAAACATTCTAAAGCCAAATAAATTTTATTTTTGTACTGGCCACGACGCTATTCTCCAATTACCATGAATAATTCAGGCTTGATACAATGCTTTTTTTTTTTTTTTAAAGATACCGATGACACTGAGTCACAATATTGAGACATATCACATACTATCTTGGTATGATAGAGAAAATTCCATTTTGATTCAGCTCCTATAAAAAAAATTCTTTACTTCAATTAAAATATACTCTGGGGGTATAAAAAGAACCAGACCTGAAGGATGACCAGAATCTCAGCATTCTTTTTCTCCAGGGCTATGTCAAAAGCAGATTTATCAAACTTGCTGAAAGCATGGACATCAGCTCCATATTTGATAAGTAACTCTACAACATCTCGATGGTGGTGCTCTGTAGCCCAGTGTAAAGCTGTCATCTTCAGCATGTCCTTGGCATTGACATCTGCACCATTCTGTCACAAAACAATATTTTTTTTCAAATAGGCACTGGTTATGGTAGCAGAGGTGCAAGATCCCATCACCCAAATAAAGAGAATTTCCATAAATATTACACATATTCAAATTTATATCACATAGAAATATCAAAGGGAAAAACATTCTTCAAATTCTCCTGAATGATGATAGACATAATGTCTTCAATGAGTAGGTCTTCTAAGGACAACTGGAAAATTATAACAGATCGGAAAGAAAGGGGAAAAGAACAGATTTTTGTTGCATTTATTAAGGGAGCTGAGTTCCTACAAAAATAGGCATAAGTACAGAGAACACCTGCAGGAAGGGAATGAAGAAAAATAATAAAGTCTGCTTAGCCTGTAAAAGATTAGAAACAAAATCCTCATTGCCATGCTCTTGAAAGAGACACAAGTCTATACTATGAACTATCCTAAACTTAATCTTTCACAGTCTAGTTTCCTGCGACCTGTTTACGTAAGAAAACAGCGAGGTGGGTGTCTCTTTTACAATATAGATCTGCCACTATTACCCTAACAAGCAGTTCCACGATGTGCGCGTGTCCATCAGCTGCAGCCATGTGCAAAGGGGTCCTGTCCACTTTGGTCCGGGCATCCCTGCTAACGCCTGCTCGAAGGAGCACTTCTGCTGTGGAATAATGACCATACTGGGCTGCAAGGTGGAGGGGTGATGTTCCAAGCTGTGGGAAAATAATACTCATTGAATATCAACTGTGTGCAGAGTCCTAAATCACTACTGGAGAGACACAAATGAACAAGAGTGAGAATTGATTGTGCAGTAGGAGTAAACAATATTAATTAAGAAATTAACATACTAACAGGCAAATAAATATACCACCAATTAAATTAGTGCTTATAATGGATTTAAGTCAGATGGATTTATCAGGCAAGATTCTCTAAAGGATATGATGTTAAGCTAAACTTAGAAAAAGGTAAAAAAAAATGTATAAACAAGAACATTCTGTATTGGGGTAAAGGAAAAGGATAAGCAGGTTCAAAATAATTCTTAGGGGCAGCCCCCGTGGCGCAGCGGTTTAGCGCCGCCTGCAGCCCAGGGCGTGATCCTGGAGACCCTGGATCAAGTCCCACGTCGGGCTCTCTGCATGGAGCCTGCTTCTCCCTCTGCCTGTGTCTCTGCCTCTCATTCTCTCTCTGTGTCTCTCTGAACAAATAAATAAAATCTTAAAAAAAAAAATTCTTAGGAAAAGGCCGAGATTAGAAAATTACCGAGATTTGGTGTGCAAATTTAATTGGCTGGAATAGAAGTCTGCTGCCATAGTAAAGCAAAGCAAAAAGACTGATGAGATGAAGAGGCAATAAAATTTTAGCAATGACATGACAACAACAATAAGTCTGTATCATCTCAAAGTAAATTCTGTTAAGAGTTAGCTATCTTTAGCCACTTTGGCCAGAGATCTATTCCTTTCTTTGTGTTAGGTTCTTTATTTTAAGCTTCTCTTGTTTATTCTTTGCGTTTCATATATGTTCAGCCTCTCTGCCTGACTAGATTTAATTCACATTGCTCTTTTCAAGTCTATTAATAGAAATGCTAATCTCATAGGTTTCCTTTTCTTCCTTTTCGTGAAGTGCTAAGAACCTGCTGGCCTCTAGAGTTATGAATTAATCACCCCAGGATAGAAGACACTGGCTCATTGAATTGTTAAAATTAGGCAATGGTGGAGTGCCTGGCTGGCTCAGTCAGTAAAGCATGTGACTCTTGATCTCAGGATTGTGAGTTTGAGCCTCATATTGGTATACAGATTACTTAAAAATAAACTCTTTGGGGGAAAAAAAAAGGAAGAGGTTGCCAACAGCACATGTTGGGAGTAAACAAAAGAGTTTACCCAGTCTGTGGTGCAGAGATTACTTTAAAAAATAAAAATAATTAAGTTATGCAACGCTTATAAAATCTATCTCTTCAAGCTGGCTGCCTAGGCTTGTGAATTTACACCTTCCTCTTAATGGTTTTTTTTTTTTTTAAGATTTTATTTATTCATGAGAGACACACAGAGAAAGGCAGACACAGGCGGAGGGAGAAGCAGGCTCCCTGTAAGAAGCCTGATACAGGACTGGATCCTGGAACCCCAGGATCATGACCTGAGCTGAAGGCAGATGCTCAACCATTGAGGCACCCAGGTGACTCTCCTCTTAATGTTTTTTAACAGTGGTAAAAAGGAAACACAATGCCTAGACTATTCCTGATTAACCAGGACACTTTAGAGAAAAGGAAACAAGTAGTTTATTAGTTTAGAAATGCACTCTTATTATACTGATTTTGTTTAATTTCTAGCCAATTACAGAAACCTATAACCTAAAAGTACACTCCAGGGAGAATTATACCTTCAGAAAACACTCTAAAAAGCATTATAGAAAATCACAAGTATATAATATCTACAATTACTACCTATATATCCATAGGAGACTCTTGCAATTTGGAAAACTAGAAGACTATTACATATTCAGATGAAACAAAGAAAATAAAACTCTTGTATGGGTAATGAGGCAGAAAAGGAATAAAGCAAAATCAAGAGTCTATAGAGCCTTTAAGAAAAAGATTGGGGGCATGCCTCATTATTTAGTCAGTAGAATGTGCAATTCCTGATCTCAGGGTTGTGAGTTCAAGCCCCACATTGGGTGTAGAGATTATTTAAATATAAAATCTTTGGGGAGAAAAAAAAGGAAGAAATTGGTAACAGCACACATTGGGAATAATTAAAAGAGCTTACCCAATCTGTTGTGAATGGGGCACCATTTGCCATCAATGTTCTCACTTCATCATCTTGGCCTTTTCTTGCTGCTTCTAGCAACCTCTTCCCCAAGTCCACCAAAGACATCTTTATGCATAGGAACAGAAGTTTTCAGGAAGCTATCACACAAGGAAAGTTCCCTGTAAAATGTTTTTAGAAGACCTCTACTCTAGAATTTAAATATATGTAAGATACTTCTCAAGCTGATTATCCAGTAGGGTGCTTCCTTTCTACCTCATCTAACACAATCAAATATTTGGGAATGTTTCAGGCCCTAAATAATAGTTCCCTAATATTCAATATTCAGAAAAATACTTTAGAAATCTGTTCAACATATTGCCACCTCTCTAGCTTAAGAAATCAGTAAAACAGCATTTCATCCCTTTGAAACAACAATGCATAGAGATATTATGTCACAACAAAAAATGATGAATAGACATACCAAGGATATTTAGACTCATGTATATAGGAGACATTTTTTCAAAAATGAACAAAGAGAGCCTGCCACTTCAAGGAAAACAACTGACAGTATTTACTAACAATTATTATGATTTGAGCTTTTATTTTATTTTTTTTTTAATTTTTATTTATTTATGATAGTCACACAGAGAGAGAGAGAGAGAGGCAGAGACACAGGCAGAGGGAGAAGCAGGCTCCATGCACTGGGAGCCCGACGTGGGATTCGATCCCGGGTCTCCAGGATCGCGCCCTGGGTCAAAGGCAGGCGCCAAACCGCTGCGCCACCCAGGGATCCCTGATTTGAGCTTTTAAGCAAAATTTTTTGAGAAACTTAAATCCACCACTATGAGTTGATAGTTTCCTGCAGACTTTTTTTTTTAATAAAGATTTTATTTATTTATTCATAGAGATGCAGAGAGAGAGAGGGAGGCGGAGGCAGAGACACAGGCAGAGACACAGGCAGAGGGAGAAGCAGGCTCCATGCAGAGAGCCCAACATGGGACTCATCCAGGATCACGCCCTGGGCTGCAGGCGGCACTAAACTGCTGCGCCACCGGGGCTGCACCCCACCTTTTTTTTAATATTTTATTTATTTATTCATGAAAGAAACAGAGAGAGAAGCAGACACATAAGCAGAGGGAGAAGCAGGCTTCCCATGGGGATCCTGATGTGGGGCTCAATCCCAGGAACAGGGGATCCCTGGATGGCGCAGTGGTTTAGTGCCTGCCTTTGGCCTGGGGCGTGGTCCTGGAGACCTGGGTCCCGCATCGGGCTCCTCGCGTGGAGACTGCCTCTCCCTCTGCCTGTGTCTCTGCCTCTCTGTGTGTGTGTCTCTCATGAATAAATAAATAAAATCTTAAAAAAAAAAAAAATCCCAGGAACACTGGGATCACCACTTGACCCAAGGCAAAGGCTCAACCACTGAGCCACTCAAGTGCCCCACAAACTTTTCTTTCTTTTTTTAAAAAAGATTTTATTTAGGACAGCCCCGGTGGCGCAGCGGTTTGGCGCCGCCTGCAGCCCAGGGCGTGATCCTGGATGAGTCCCATGTTGGGCTCTCTGCATGGAGCCTGCTTCTCCCTCTGCCTGTGTCTCTGCCTGTGTCTCTGCCTCTCTCTCTCTCTCTCGCTCTGTCTCTATGAATGAATAAATAAAATATTAAAAAAAGATTATATTTATTTATTCATGAGAGATACACAGAGAGAGGCAGAGACACAGGCAGAGGCAGAAGCAGGCTCCCTTTGAGAAGCCCAATGTGGGACTCAATCCCAGGATCCTGGGATCACAACCTGAGCCAAAGGCAGATGCTCAACCATTGAGCTACCAAGCATCCCCCCACAAACTTTTCTGATGAAATTAGTGGTGATACTAATAAATGTGATTTTTAAATATTGTATAATAAGGGCAGCCTGGGTGGCTCAGCGCCACCTTCAGCCCAGGGTGTGATCCTGGAGTCCTGGGATCGAGTCCCACGTCAGGCTCCCTGCATGGAGCCTGCTTCTCCCTCTGCCTGTGTCTCTGCCTCTCTCTATGTGTGTCTCTCACGAATAAAATCTCACAAAAAAAAAAGAAAAGAAAAAGAAAAAACTGCCACTTTCTCCAGTTTTTGTGGAGCATCAAAGAACACCCATGATTACCTGAAAAAGCTATTAAAATATTCCTCCTTGGATAGAACTGGAGGGTATTATGCTGAGTGAAATAATCACTTGGAGGAGTACAATCATCACATGGTTTCACTCATACGTGGAATATAAGAAATAGTGAAAAGGATTATAAGGGAAAGGAGGGGAACTCAGTGGGAAAAATTAAGAGATTCCTAACTCTGGGAAACAAACAAAGGGTTGCAGAAGGGTAAGTAGGTGGGGATGGGGTAACTGGGTGATGGGCAATGAGGAGGGCAATTGATGGGATGAGCACTGGGTGTTATACTCTATGCTGGCAAATTGAATTTAAATTTTTAAAAAATGTAAAAAATAAATAAATAAAATACTCCTCCTTTCTCCAAGTACCTATAGCAAAAGATTATGTGCAATAGTAATTATGAGGATGCAACTGTTTTCTATTAAGCCAGAAATTAGAGAGATTTGCAAAAATAAAGAACAATGCCATTCCATTCCTTTCATTATTAACTTGGAAGACATATTTTTTTCATAAAAATGTGTTATTTATGTTAACTTGTACAGGATTTACTATCGTATTTTAATTAATGAACATTTACTTTTTATTTTTTTTAAAGATTTTCTTTATTTATTCATGAGAGAGACACAGAGAGAGAAAGAGGCAGAGACACAGGCAGAGGGAGAAGTAGGCTCCACTCAGGGAGCCTGATGTGGGACTCGATCCTGGGTCTCCAGGATCACACCCTGGGCCGAAGGCAGGCGCCAAACCGCTGAGCCACCCGGGCTGCCCTAATTAATGAACATTTAAAAACTAACTTCTAAAACATTTAATCCCAATAGATGTAACACACTGGAGTCCTCAATAATTTTTAAGAATTTTTTTAAAAATATTTTACTTATTTACTCATGAGAGACACAGAGAGACAGAGACACAGGCTGAGGGAGAAACAGGCTCTCTGCAGAGAGACCAATGCAGGACTGGATCCCTGCACCCTGGGATTACCACCTGAGTGGAAGGCAAACACTCAACTACTGAGCCACCAAGGCACCCAGTTTTTAAGAATATATACAAGTTCTGAAACCAGAAAATTTTAGAATCATTGGCTTAGGCAAATCATTTAGCCACCTTGTAATTTAATTATATTGCCTGACGTAGGACTCGATCCAGGGTCTCCAGGATCACGCTCTGGGCTGCAGGCGGTGGGTGATAAACCGCTGAGCTGCACCACCGGGGCTGCCCCCTAAGATTTTATTTGCGAAAGAGAGGAATGGAGAGCTGGGGGGGGGGGGGGGAGGGAAAGGGGGAGGGAGAGGAGACCCAGTGCTGAGTGCAGAGCCTGACACAGGGCTCCATTCCCACAACCCCAAGATCATGACCCAAACCAAAATGGAGTCCAATGCTCAATCCACTGAGCTTCCCAGATGCCCCCACTTTTCTTTAATCATATTTGTGAGCCCATGTATCAGTACCACTAAATGGCAACTGACCCATACTTGTCATCCCATTCTTTAAACAGACCATGAAAAGCCTTATTTCTTACTATACAAAGATAAACTTTGGGATTAGAATGTAAGTAAGGTGTTATATTCATCACCTGATATAAAAAAGGTCTCCTAGAAGTGTGTTCAAGGTCCTTTTCTCCCTTATCCTTCACTTTTTCTAGTTAATCTGAAGCATCTATCCAAAATAAAAGTAAAATGTATCTTTAAAATAACAGCAATGGGGGGCGGGGGGTGGGGTGGACTATGTGCCATTCTCCCATATCCTACCTCAAGACTGACAATACCCACCAGACAAGAGATGTAGCCAGAGTTAGGAGGACAGTCCAGGCACTTTCAAGCTCCCTGATTATTATTTTTTAAATATTTTGTTTATGGGACGCCTGGGTGGCTCAGCAGTTGGGCGTCAGCCTTCAGCCCAGGGCGTGATCCTGGAGTCCCCGGATCGAGTCCCACGTCAGGCTCCCTGCTTGGAGCCTGCTTCTCCCTCTGCCTGTGTCTCTGCCTCTCTCTCTCTCTCTCTGTCTCTCATGAATAAATAAAATCTTAAAAAAAAAAGATTTTATTTATTATTTGACAGAGAGAACGCATACATAGGCAGAAGAGCAGGCAGAGGGAGAGGGAGAAGCAGGATCCCCGCTGAACAGGGCGCAGGACCCAGGACCCTGGGATCATTCATGACCTCAGCAGAAGGCAGATGTTTAACCAATTCAGCCCCCCTCTCCCCAGATTATTTGAAAACATAGATGTACCTCTACTTCCTCTATATATGAACTAAAGAAAAAATCTTATCTAACTTATCTCTAAGGATTTTGGAGATGAATAAAGTACCTACCCACTCCCCCTCCCAAACAAACATACAAGAACTCTGAATAAGTGTTTTAATACTTGATGAATTGTTTGAGCTTTTGACAACAAAGTACTCTATTATCACAGAGTAATTACATTTGTTGATATAATAATTTGGGTGAGGCAGTTCTTTCACTGTTACCAGATGGTATGAAATAGATGTTTAAGAACATCTCCATTGGGCCGGATGGGTCACGACGGAAATATGGTCCCAGACGACCAAAAATGTTGTTAAATTGTTGGAGGGTAAGCCACAGAATGTCCTTTTCCACAGATGCTTAAGACAGAAAGACCTTCTGGGAAGACGGAGAGGAACGGATAATCTCTGCTGCTCAAGGGACTCTGTGAGAACAGGAAAACGCTAAAGAGGAGACGTGGAACCAAGATCCGACCTCTCCTCGGTTTCTATTGCACACGTCTCCACCGGCCGCCAGCTGTGCAAACAACTGTGCAGCACCGGGGGGCGGGCTCGCGCTGCTCTTTTGCCCAGATTATGAGCTCAATCAAAATCTCTGGCTATTACTGAGGTCAGAGAACTGGGAGTCCCCGATTTCTCCTCCAATGCAAACAACAACGTGGTCTTTCTCGAAGAAGAGTCGGTGGGGGCGAGGAGCCAGGGCCTCAGCCCAGGGGGGCTGCCCCCTAGCGGTCACCCCTGCGGCCCTCGCGGCCCCGGGTCCAGCTCCCCAGCCCCAGGTCTTACACCCACCCCCTCCTTCACCTCCTCCCAGTCCCCTCCCCTTCCTCCCGGCAGCATCCCCTTCCTCTTCGTCCCCTCCTCGAGCCGCCCTCGCTCGGGTGAAGGGCGCCGCTCCGTCTGCACCCAGAAGTCCGGGGCTGCGCCGGGGCGCTGTGCAAGTATCACGGCAGTCTCCCTCCCGGCCCCGACGCCCCCCAGAGTTCGCACATCTTCTTCCTCCTCACCTCCTCGTCCGGGACGCTGCCGGCCGCGCTTTCACCGAGCCCGCCAGTTTGGTCCCGTTTCCTTCTCTAGTTAAGACTCCCTGTCACTGACGGTTACTTTTTGGCCTTTTCATATATACATATTTTGGGGGCCTTTAACCCCCCCTCGTGGAGAAATGGAGGCAACAAAATGGCGGACCCGGAAGTGAAGGCTCAGCGAATACAATTTCTGGCGGAGGGATCTGTGAGGAGAAATTGACGAGAAAAGCCCACATTTACATCGGAGCAGAAAAGCGACGCATCTCTGAGTCTCATTTTGTTTCCACTGAAGGCTTTTTGACGTGCAAGAGTGTATATCTGAGATAATCCAAACGGGACTATTTGACGGGGCGGAGGATTGTTGATGGCGTGTCTTACGTGCCGTGTAGTCCCGGCAGGGGACGGAAGCGCTGGGTTCTTTTGGCGCCAAGAGCCCGGAAAGTGCCGAGGAGCTTTCGGAACCTGCGCGGGGCATCCGCCTGTTTTGTATCCTGTCCCGGGACCAACTTGAAGGTTGACGGCAAAACTTTGTTTCCCTGTCTTTACCTCGGGTGCAGCGGTTGGGACGTTCCCGGCTTTGCGTGCGGATTGAACTCCGGTGTCCTGACGGTGGTATTTCCAATTTACAGCTTGAATGTAAGGCCCCCGGGACCGGGCTGTCTGCTCGTAGTGAACCGGCTGATGGAGCCGTTTCTGTGGAGAGGCGCGGAAGGGGACACCGCCTGAATTTGCAGATCCTCTCACACACCTTACACACCAAATAGCTCCCATCTTCACCCACCAGTCGCCACTCCCTAAGGGCAGTGAAAAATGGGAAAGAAGCCCTTAAATAAGTGAACACAAGGAAAGGACAAGTCACGGCTCCACTCTATTCGGTTTTGGCTTCTGTCGTTTATGGTGGGCTTTCAGAGGCCACGGAGGTTCTCGCGTCTACCTCCTTTTCTGAACTTGCTCGGGTCGCCTCTAAAGTATCTACGGCGTTCTGACCGTTTTCGATCCATTTTGATACTTATGGTTTCCCTTTTTGAGTCAAAATCTTATTTAATTACTGTTCACATTCTCTATTTGAAAGTTCAAATAGTTGGATTGTTTTGTTTATTATTATTTTTTTGTTTTTTAATGAGACGAGTTGTAAATAACCAGATAACATATTTGGGTGAATTATTTTCGTTTCTTAGGCACCTAGACTGAGATAATGAAGAGCATACTTGGTGCCACAGGTGCCTTCTGAGACATCTAGGATTATTACCTCAGTATGTAGCCAGTGGTCAAGTAGAAAAGTGGTTGGTTGCAGCTTTCTTCCTAAATTATAATTTTTTTTAAAGGTTTATTCGTTCATGGGCAGCCTGGGTGGCTCAGCGGTTTAGTGCTGACGTCGGCCGAGGGCGTGACCCTGGAAACCCGGGATCCGGTCCCACGTCGGGCTTCCTCCGGGGAGCCTGCTCACTCGCTCTGCCTGTGTCTCTGCCTCTTTCTCTCAGTCTGTGTATCTCATGAATAAATAGATCTTTTTTTTTTTTTCCAAAGATTTTACTTATTTATTCATGAGAGTGTGTACACAGAAAGAGGCAGAGACAGGCAGAGGGAGTGAGCAGGCCCCCTGCAGGAAGCCCGATGCGGACTCTCGATCCCGGGTTCCAGGATCACGACCTGAGCTGAAGGCAGGCGCCCCACCGCTGAGCCACCCAGGCGTCCCCTAAATTATAATTTTAAGTTGATTTTACCTTTTTTTTTAAATACCTATCCAACTTGCAGTTCATCATTTTTAATATATAAAGGCTACAGAAAGAGTTGTTCCTTTATTGAAAGGTATAATATAGAAGTGTAAGGGAAAAAGCAAGGCTAATTTCAGAGATCTCTTCTTTTTGAAGAGAGAGAAAACTAGAATCCAGTCCTGGGATTGAATGCCTTTATTAAAGAAATGAGTGGATGGCAGCACAAATCAGCGGCAATAATTTTGGAATGAGGGGACAAGGTGTAAGGTCATAATGTGATTGTTTCATGGTCTCAAAGCTGAAGAACTGTGCCTGAGGCTCATTGATCAGTATCATACATTGCAGATGCTGGGCAAGACTAGAATACTAAAGAATACTAAACTCTGCCTTTTAGAAACAGAATCAAAACCTAACAAGTTATCGTAGTCAGAAAGATTGCGTCTTAAGAAGTGAACTTGGAGTCATTTTCCTCAAGAGTTTTGAGTTATGGGCAAAATTACAAAGTGAGTAGGCTTGAAGAAGGTACAACCTTAAATTAAGTTTGAGCAATTTCTAAAGCTGTTTAAAATGAAGTAAAAAAAAAAATCCTCCATTTTGTACTACTGTGCTACGCTCTGGTGCCTCCACCAGGCCTGTTTTCTGAATTAACATCTGGGGGAGGGGGGGAAATCCCTGTGATCCAATCAATACTCCAGTCCTTGAACCCTTTCCTTTGTGGCTTAAGGGCTCTTAAGAGAAACCAGTAAGATAAATAAATACATAAGTAAATAAATACAACACAACTCTGGCAGATTCATCAGCACCACCTCAACACAATAGAGAGGAAAAGAGCAAGATTAATAGGAGAAAAGGGTGGAAAGGAAGGGGCTTGAAAGGGAAGGCAGTGAGGGCAAGGTGGTGGGAGAGAAGTCTTGGGCTTAAAGCAAGTCCAGTTCAAAGGAGTGGATGCTGGCAATAGGAGCTCTCCAGAAGTTGAAGGTGCTGTATTCAAGGAGGGCATCGCCTTCGGAATTCTTCTCCTGTTCTACTCCAGTTGCTTGCCCGGTCATTTTGCCAGTGCTGCTGTCTTTGATCTTGTAGATGGATGTATCTGACAGACCCAGACCTTCCAGCTCCGACAGATCCAGTTCTGGAATGGGCATCCTCCAGAAAAGAAAGGAGCTGTACTGGCTACTCACAGGGTCCCTCATAACTTCCTAGAAAGAAACCATTTGTTAATCTTCATGCTACTGCAGTCTCTTTATAACCCATGGCCTTTCCTTACTTAAAAACTTAACATCCGGGGATCCCTGGGTGGCGCAGCGGTTTGGCGCCTGCCTTTGGCCCAGGGCGTGATCCTGGAGACCCGGGATCGAATCCCGCATCGGGCTCCCGGTGCATGGAGCCTGCTTCTCCCTCTGCCTGTGTCTCTGCCTCTCTCTCTCTCTCTCTCTGTGCTGTGACTATCATAAATAAATAAAAAAAAAAAAAAAAAAAAAAACTTAACATCCTGGGATGCCTGGGTGGCTTGGTGGTTGAGCATCTGCCTTCAGTTCAGGGCGTGATCCTGAGGTCTGGGGATCCAGTCCTGCACTGGGCTCGTGGCAGGGAGCCTGCTTCTCCCTCTGCCAATGTCTCTGCCTCTCTCTGTGTCTCTCATGAACAAATAAAATCTTAAGAAAACAAAACAAAAAAAAAACATTTGCATCCTCATTTGCCACTGTACATGATCCAAATTTCCTAGGACAAGCTTTGGGAACCCTTCCTTTATTACTGTCTTCTACCATTTCTAATCTTCTCCCCATCTTGGGATGACTTAATTCACTGCCTACTGCTTCAAGTCAATCTTGGGTCTGGTTTTCAAGGCTTTCTAGAATTTGGCCCCATCCTTCCTAGCAGTAGCACATTCTCTGCTAGTTATGCTTATTCTTGTCTTGCTTAACTTTCCCTACTCTCCATCTTTTTTTTTTTAAGCTTACTATATCACCAGTTTATTATAAAAGAATATAACTCAGAAAAAAAAAAAAAGAATATAACTCAGGAACAGCAGATAGAAGAGATGCACAAGGCTACGTGTAGGGAAAGGGTGCAGAGCTTCCATGCCCTCTCCAGGTATACCACTCTCCCCTCCTCTCCATGTGTTTTAACCAACCTGGAAGCTCCTCTCTACTCCATCTTTTTTTTTTTTTTTTTTAAGATTTTATTTATTTAAGCATGAGAGACACAAAGAGAGAGAGACCTAGAGGGAAAAGCAGGCTCCTTGCAGGGAGCCCAATGCAGGACCCTGGGGTCACAACCTGAGCTGAAGGCAGGCACTCAATCACTAAGCCACCCAAGCATACCTCTACTCTCCATCTTAAAATACTACCCAAGTTTCAAGACGACTAGAGGAGTCCCTAGAAGAATTCAAGTCCTTAGAGGAATCTTTCCCCTGAACTTATTATGTTGGTAAATAATCGATGTTTTCCTGACTTTGATTTAATAGGTACCTCTAAAAAGGGCTTCCATGACATTTCTGGTTTCAGTTTTCCTCCCTGCCTTCTAAACCGTACTACAAACTCACCTTTCCCAGGAGGACTTCCTTCAACTTACTCAACTCACTCCACCCTATATCTTCCAGCACCCTGTAGAGTTTTACCTGACCGTATCAGTTTGGGGCTACAGATCACGGTTATGTGTCTTGTATAGGGATAGTCTTTCTCCTTCAAGAAACAGAGTTTCCCTAAAGGTAAAAACCAGTCTACTTTCTACCTTCTTCACAAGTGCTGGGCTTTGCACACAAAAGACATTTGAGGCTGCTGATTAATTTTCTCTCACTATTTCTCACTAATATAACCCATACCTTGTCACCCCCATCTATTAGCCCACAGAAAGGCCTTAACAGCCTGTATTTCTCTCTAGCCTACCTCTCCAAAATAAAACCCAGGTGGCTCAAAGGACTTTCCTGTGCCTTCCTATAACAAGACTTTTTTCTCTGATCCCAATGCTAGATTATACCTGAGAGCAAATGGATTGGAAATTCCAGGTATGGACAGGAAGAGTTTAGATTGGAAGGAGAAAGTCCCTTGACAGAATTAGATACTTTTCCATGCTTTAATGAGTATTCCTATCAGCTTTTCTGCTCATCCCACCCACACCCTGATGTTATATGACTATTATACCTCCTGCACCCTGCTGGTTACTAGCCAAGGGAAGGGGCAAAAGCATTAGTTTAAATATTCCCAAAGAAACAGAAGGAACATTCCATTGCCTCCAAAAATAGAACCCCACTTTAAAAGGCCTTCTCCTAGCAGACTCCATTGGCTCTTACCAGGCCTCGAGGCTCCTAAATAGTGGCCTTAAATAGGTTCCCAACTGCCTCCATAAAATGTGTTAAGCGAACATAATAACCACTGCACTACAGAAACTCTATAACCCCAGATAACGTGAATTGTCTCAACGAAAGCCAAAAAAGAAAGCCTTAATCGAGAGCATACTTATGTGTGAGTGTAGGGCCTTTAGGATTGGACAGTGGACAGACTAGGATGTTATTTAATGTTAAAAGCCAGTTGTCAGTTGCTCTTTTTCTTCTGAGATTCAGGCCCCACAATAAACCCTGGGAACTGAGCATTACTCAGCCGAGAGCTGCTTAGGAGGGTTATGTGGGGACTGGAACAGGGTGGGGGAGCATGTTAGAAAGGTGAGGTCATGATCCTATGATACTCAGCTCTGATCATCTCCACAGTAATTTGCAGAGACATGTTGAAAGAGAGCTACACAAAATGGTTGTACCTCTCAGCCTACCAACTCCAGCTTCAGTCTGGGACTAGGGTGATCCCAAGATGCATATCTTAGGAACTGTCAGTGTTACAGCCTAATGACTCACCACAGGGATTCTTTCTTTTTCTTTCTTTCCTTCTTTTCCCAACTTTACCAGTTATTTGTCTACCTTGCTGGCTTCTTTTATATCCCCTCCCTTACCAGTACCCCTCAGAGCAAGCTTAGTATAATACTGGGCACATAATAGGTTCTTCACAAAATAGAACAATATACAAAGCAAACAAACCATAGGATTTTAAAGCTAGAAAACACATTTGGGGTGCCTGGCTGGCTCAGTTGATGAAGTGTGTGACTCTTGATCTTGGATTGTGAGTTTGAGTCTCATGTTGGATGTAGAGATTACTTAAAAAATGAATAAATAACATAAATATATTCTGTGCTGTAACATAGTGTATATTCAAAAAGAAAGAATGAGGGGATCCCTGGGTGGCGCAGCAGTTTGGCGCCTGCCTTTGGCCCAGGGCACGATCCTGGAGACCTGGGATCGAATCCCACGTCGGGCTCCCGGTGCATGGGGCCTGCTTCTCCCTCTGCCTGTGTCTCTGCCTCTCTCTCTCCGTGTGACTATCATAAATAAGAAAATAAAAAAAAAAGAATGAAAACATGTTAGAAATTATCTAATGACTTCTGAAGCCTTCTAGCCAGTTGGATCCAGGTCTGTTTCCCAATCTGGTCTTTTTTGATGTGCTGTACATAGATAATTCCCACAGTTTTATATACCAATATCCTCAAAACTTGTAAGAATTCTTTTAGTTCCTGAAGAACAAATACTCAGTGGATTAAGTAAGTGTTGATTGTTCCGTGATTCTCATCTGAATGATGAAAATGCAAAAGGCAGTAGAGAGCAAGCTAGAATCTGAGACAGGGAAAAAGCTCTTTGACAAATTGACTGCTTTTCTTTAAATCAGAGTATGGGGATCCCTGGGTGGCTAAGTGGTATGGAGCCTGCCACTCCTGCCTGCGTTGTGTTTCTCTCTCTCTCTCTCTCTTTCTCTGTATCTCTCATGATTAAATAAATAAAATCTTTAAAAAAAATAAAATAAACCAGAGTATGTATAAAAATTGTCTAAACAATCTCCCGAGTGTCTGGCAGAGTGTATCTTGCAATTAAAAATGCTAACGGAGGGATTCCTGGGTGGCTCAGTGGTTTGGCGCCTGCCTTTGGCCCAGGGTGTAATCCTGGAGACCCAGGATTGAGTCCTACGTTAGGCTCCCTGCATGGAGCCTGCTTCTCCCTCTGCCTGTGTCTCTGCCTCTCTCTCTGTGTGTCTCTCATGAATGAATAAATAAAAAATCTTAAAAAAAAAAAGCTAAAGGAAATTTTATGAAATATTAACTCAAAAGGCCTAAAATCTCTAGCCATGCCATTAACTCAGAGACATTCTAGATGCACTCATTCTAGAAAGACACTCATATAAGCATGTATGGCATTTAAAATCAAGTCAGTATACAGAAAATTGAAACTCAAATACCATCTACATTATATTACATTCATTAGTAACGAAATTCTGGTATTTAATATAGTATGGATTTAATTCCCAAGTCGTCTTCTCCAAATTTCTCCACCCATACCTTATCTTTCTTTACATTTCTTAAAGGGCTTAGACCACAATATACGCTCAAGAAATACTTCTGTCCTTCATTTTAAATTATCCAGATATTTTAGTCAAAGGTAATTTCTAAATATCACCATCTATTCCTAGAGATACATGATTAGCAAATATGTAGTATAAAAAGACACACTGTCCTTAAGCCACACAGACACACCCAAATTCCCTTTGTCTAGACCCTCCACAAGAACCCAAGGCCTGCCCAACAGGGCCTTGCTGTGTCATGCTGCCACCTGGGGGTGGGGGTGGGGGGGAGGACCAGGGATGGTGGTTGGAGGGGATGGAAGCTCTCTGGCATCTCATTATATTTGCTTCATTCTGGTCTTGGATTTTCCTATTAGCCACGTCCTTGCCCCATCTATTCCCACGGAGCTGCAAATAAGCATTCCTTTTCCAGAATCTGCCACCACATGTAGCTTTTGTGAGCTGTACTGATTTCAATATGGGATCAGGCAATTCTCCAACAGAGGCTCCCACCTTCCTACCTCAAGCTGCCTCTTTCTTTGGAGCAAAGGTTTGAGATAGGGAGCAGGAGACTTAAAAGAAAGGTCAGGATTGCTTTCAATATTATCTCATCCCTTCCCCCCAATTCCTTCCTATGGAGGCAAATCAGTTTGGGGTGAAGGTAGACACATCAATGGAACACTACAGATTAAAAAATATTTATATAGGTAAGTACAGGCTGGAGCAATACAAGAGAACTAGAGATTTCATCAAAAAACAGGTAAAACCAATTATAGCTTAAAAAGAAGATATAGATAAGGACTGAAGATCATAAAGCACATAAGACAAATTATAGGGATCCCTGGGTGGCGCAGCGGTTTAGCGCCTGCCTTTGGCCCAGGGCGCGTTCCTGGAGACTCGGGATCGAATCCCATATCGGGCTCCCGGTACATGGAGCCTGCTTCTCCCTCTGCCTGTGTCTCTGTCTCTCTCTCTGTCTCTCTCTCTCTCTCTGTGACTATCATAAATAAATAAAATTTAAAAAAAAAGACAAATTATAGGAAAATAGATACTTGAAATGAGATAAATGCTGAGAAATGATAGCTTCATGTAAATTGTTAGAAATTAATGTCTGTGGATTAAAAGGCAAGGATGGAGATCTTAGCAAAGAGATAAAAAGATGACCAAAAATTACTCATTGTTCATAGTGCCCCTTCTCTTGCACTGTCCCCCACCCTCATCCTAATTTGGGGTCTTCAAGCTAACCGCAAGCAGATGCTCTTCTCTCTCTTGGCACCCCCTTGCTCTCCTCCCCTCAATGTAGTTTACCTGTTATCAGTGAATTATTAGTGTGTTCCAAAGATGGAAGGAGTACCTCGGGGGCTCCGGCGTCTGCTCGGGGCTGGAGAAAAAGAAAGCTGTTGGGGTTTTGACGGCTTTGTCTTCTCACTCTCTCTCCCTCTCCGGTGGCTGAGTCTATCTGCTCAGTCTCCCCCTGCAATGCAGCCCCTCCTAAGAAGGGCGGAAGGACTCCCCGCCCCCTCCTTGCCTGACTCGGCTAATTCAAATGATAGGTTCCAGAACACTTTAGGGAGGGAGACAGGATTAAAGCATCTCCGTAGGCTTATTGGTCGGCACAATTATTCCCGAGCTCTTATAGCACCCCCATGCTGACTGGGGTGCAATGAATGAGCAGTTATTTGTCCCCTAATTTTAGACTTATGGATTAAAAAGCCTAACTCTCGATAACATATAGAGGAGTGCCCCTTTATTACCCAATTTAAGGATTTCAAGTTACGAAGTGTATTTTTGAGAATCAGAAAAATCTTCCATCCCTCCCTCCAATCCCTACTATTGCGCCTGGATGAACCAGCCCATGCCACTTTGGGTCCAGCGTCGGAGGACTGGGAAGGGTGTGCGTGCTGTGTGTGTGTTTGGGGGGTGCCTCTGCGAGGACTGGGGGGTGGGGTGTGCGTGTGTGCGAGTGTTGGGGAGTGCCACTCCCTAGACTTGGCTGGGTACGGGGGACGTGGGGCTCCACTTAAGTGTTGCCCAGCCGTGCCCGGCGCGCTGAGGGGACGTGCGAGGGGGGCCGGGAGAGCCTTTCACAGGCTGCGTGCCCCGGGTTCGCGCGGCGGGGCGCCCGGGCCCCCTCCCAGGGCCCAGCGCGGTGCAGCGCCCCAGCAGTCAGGCGGGAGCGGTGCGCCCGCCTCCGGGCCGGACGGGTTTCGTAATCGCGTCGCCGCCGTTTCCGCCGAGAGCCAGCCCCACCTCTGCCGGCCCGCCCTCGGCTCCCCCGCCGCGCCGCGGAGCCAGCCCGGGAAGCCCACGGCGGCGGGCCCCGAGCGGGAGCCCCCCCCCGCGCTGCAGCCGCGCGCCTCGACGCTGGAGCCCCGGCAGGTGAGACCGCGCCGCGGGTCCCCGGCCCGCGCACCCCGCCTGCCGGGCGGGGCGGAGACGCACCGGATGCTGGGTGGGGGAGGAGGGAGGCCGGGGCCGGGGAGATGCTGGGCCGGGGGGAGAGGGGTGCGTCCCCTGGCAGCAGCCTCCCCCCACTCCACTGCTCACGCGGTGCGCGCGCCGAGGCCGCTGCAGAGTGGAGGGCGGCAGGGCCTGGGGGTCCGGGACCGGGGTGGGGGAGGTACCCCGAGACTCTGACGTCGGCGGCGGCGCGTGCCGGACCGAGTGGAGCCCAGCTGGAAGGTCCTGGAAGGGGGCAGTCCGAGCCCGAAGCAGCCGCGGAAGACTGTGACGGAGTCCGAAAGCTCCACAGCGAGATGCCAGCCCCAGTCAGGCGTTGGGAGGAGCAGGGGGTTGCTGGATAGAGTTAGGGAGTGGGCAGAAATGGGGCCTGTAGGGCTGATTCTGCCGGGACGGAGCTGGGGGCCTGGCTCTGCTTCCTCGGAAGCCTCCCCGCGCCCCAAGTCCTTCCCTGGGGCCGTGCCTGTCACTTGACTGAGAAGTGCGTGTCCCCCCACTCCTCTGATGGCCGCAGCGGCCCTGGGCGTTTGGAGGTCTCCACAGGGACCAGCTGCAGCCCCGGGGTTACAGCCAGAATTGCCCACTCCGTTCCTTCAGTTTCCCTTTCTCTTTCTCCAGCTGCTTCTTGTGAAGGCTTGTCGGGCAGCAGGTTAGAGGCCTTCGGGCTGAAGGCAGCGGGGACCGGGAAAACCGGTTTCAGGCTAGAACAGGACCAGGGAACCACCTCTGTACATCCTTCCTCTCTGGAACCTTTCTCTTATCCCTCCTACTGCTCACTGCGCAGTGGCTTGGAAGCTCCTCGGTCACCAGTGTGACCTTGGTGTCTCCTAGCTCTCCCTCTTCCTATTTGGGACTCTGGCTCAGTGCTACTTGCCTGTCAGGATATGACCTTACACCATCTAATCCTGGTCTCCTCCTCCCCCTGGTTCTCCCAGCCCCTTCCCCTTCCCTGGAGGGCGAGGGGTGGGATGGGGAGCTCGAAATAGTGGGCAGTGGATTTGGGTGCCCCTTTCTCTTGGGCTCACCAGGACTTCATTTTTCCTCAACCCACTCTTCTCTAGCTATTTTAAAGAGCAGCCCATTGCTCTTACTTCCTTTTCTGACCCATCCCCTCATCACCTACACGTTCGCCCTGCCCAGTCTTCTCCACATGCTGACCCCACTGCCAAGTTTCAGAGACTCTTATGTTCTGTGTCCTAGGGAATGGAATTTCCTGGTCACTCCTCATCATCCTTGGCCCTCTCGTGCAAGTCCCACATACACTGTCCCTCCACCCAGCTCAGGCCAGGTCCCTGGAAAGGGAACAGAAACGTCCTTGTTCCCTCCACTGCCCTTTCCCTGCCTCTCCTCTCCCCTCTCCTCCCTTCTCTCCCCTCCCACCCTCTACTTCTGTCCACTCAGCTTCGCTCAGGGCGTGTGTTGGGGGAGAGTCCACTCTCCCTACAGTCTCTCTGGTGGTATTGGGGGTTTCCTCTGATTCTTCATTGTTTTCTTCAGTCCCTGGCCTGCAACCCTTAGCACCCGCCACCACCACCACCACCATTGCGACAAACCGACAAACTGTGTGACTGACTGACTGACTTCCCCACTGACCACAGCTCCCCTTTCTGGACAGCTGTGTTCAGACTTCCGCCCTAACTCGTTACTCCTCCCCTCCGGTGGTGGGAAGGGAAGTAAGAGAAAGCCCAGGCTTCTCCTGGGCCCTTCTCTCCCCTACAAGCTTTTTTTCTTTCTTTTTTAAAAAGATTTTATTTATTTATTCATGACAGAGAGGCAGAGACATAGGCAGAGGGAGAAGTAGGCTCACAGCGGGGAGCCCAATGCAGGACTCGATCCCAGGATCCTGATCCCAGGATCACGACTTGAGCCAAAGGCAGACACTCAATCACTGAGCCACCCAGTCTTCCCCAAGCTGGATCTCAGTGTGCTAGAGCATGGGGGTTCCAGGCCTGGAAGGGAGGGAGATTCCTATTCATAGAGTTTCATATTCATGAAATGGCCCTGTTTGGAATCTGGGAGGTTGCCTGTATCGTAGGACTGGGGAAGTGCAGTGAGCACAAAGGAAATGCAGATGTGTTCTACTCTGGCCTGCAGGCAGTGAGGAAAAGGGGCCCACGTTCTTCCTTGGACACGAGAACGTTCTTCCTTGGACACGAGAACGGTATTGGAAAGTTCCTTGTGTCTGGTTGGCTGATGAAGCTTGGGGATGGAAGTAGTGAGGAGGGAGGAGAGAACAGGTCACAGCATGAGGGGAGGGGAGAGATGGGGGGAGGCTTGGGCCCTATGGGGTGGCACAACAGGACTCATGAAGAGGGTAAGGAGGCCAGAGGAAGGTGAGGAGGGCGGGGAGGCCAGAGGAAGATTCCTCGTGGGATAGAAGATACCTGGTATGTGTGCCTATGGCCTGTGCACAGATGATCTGTATAAGACACACAGAATAAGACACACACAGAAAGAGGGTCATGCCTCCTGAGTGCACACACAGGAGTGCAGTGATACAGGATCACAGATAAACAGACTCTGTACAGCCTTCAGGAAGGATCTCAAGGTTGAGTAATAAAGGAACTGATAAATAGCTTCTAGAAGAGGTTGGATCTCAGTTGAGGGAAATGAGGAGGAGCAAGGGCAGGGAATAGAGAAGGAAGAAATTTCTCAATGTAGGAAAGTCTTCCTGGAGGCTCAACCTGTGGCAGGTAGCCACCTACAACCTGGCCAGTCAAGGTCTCTCTTGGTTTTAAAGAAAATCAAGATGTTCAGGGTAAGCTAAGGAAAAGGGAGGGACAAGGGTGGAGGCCCTGTTTATGAAAACGAAAAACCACCATTTCCTCTTCAAAGTCACCTAACGGCCCCTCCCCTTTGGCCCTAACCCCAGGGAGAAGGGAGGTAGGGCCCATAGCACCCCCAGGCTGTGCTCATTTCTGCCACTGCCCTTTAGCCCCTCCCATCCCCATCCTAAATGCTTGGGTCCCCTTCCTCTCTCTTGGTTCCTGCAGCTCCTGCTCCTCTACCCCTTGCTGCCCTTTCTCTGGGAGTCCAACCGTGAGGTCCTTATGTTTGGGGAGATTAGTGCTGGGTGCAGAACTGGGGCCTTGGAGGGAGAACTGGATGATCTGGGCTCCTCGGGAGGCTTCTCAAGGAGGGGGTGATGGGAGAGATGGGATTTCTCACTCGCCTTCTCCTCTCTTTACTTTCCACTCATCTAGGTTCTGGGTCTGAAGAAGACATAACCCTTTGCCTGCCTGCTTCCCTGCTGTGGCCCTGCTTGTCCCTCAGGGGCTGAGGCGCTGACTGACCTTCACTGCCTAGCCCAGGGTACCTGGGACCCCACCATCTCTAGGCCCGTCCAGCTGTTGTTACACTCCAGGGGCTGAGGAGTGAGGAGTTAAGGCACCAGAGTGAAAGCCCTCTGGGGCCTCAAGCAGAGGAGTGAAACTGGAACCATCGGGGAACATGAGTGAATTTTGGCACAAACTGGGTTGCTGTGTGGTAGAGAAACCCCAGCCGGTGAGTCCTCGACCCTGAGCCCCACCCCAGCATACACAGAAGTCAGTTACCGTATCCTGTGAGGCACACACACCACCTGCGATCTGGTGTTTAGGAAGCCCACTACTTGCTTCCCTCTCTATCAGGACAGTCTGTCTGGCCGGGCAGGTGTGCACATGGAATCCAGGGGGACTGTGTGTTGGGGGAAGTGAATAGTCCTAGCTAGCACTTCCTGTTTCTGTCCATTCTGAGCTGGGCAGAGGTTGTAGGTGAAGTTTAATACCTGTCACTTTCTCCCATTGTTTCCTCATCAGCCAGAGGTGACTTTGATATATCCTTTCTTTGTCTAGCATTTACTCTGCAGGCCCCTGCCGTCACCACCCTGCCTATGTCCTCTCTGTGTTATGTTGCTCCAGACCTGCCTTTCAGACCCCAGTGATTGCCCAGTAGTAATGCCAGGTACCCTTGTCCATTTGGGCCTTTAGCTCTTCTCCTAGTGGTTTTCTTTTCTTTTCTTTTTTTCTTTCTTTTTTTTTTTTTTTTTAATGAGAGATACAGAGGCAGAGACAGAGGCAGAGGGAGAAGCACGCTCCCTGCAAGGAGCCTGATGCGGGACTCGATCCCAGATCCTGGGATCATGCCTCAGCCCTGAGCTGAAGGCAGAAGCTCAATTGCTGAGCCACCCAGGAGTTCCCCCTAGTGGTTTTCAAGACTCTATTCCCTTCTTCTGTGTGTGGAGGGAGGCACTTCAGGCCTAACTCCTCTGTCTTCTCTAAACAGAAGAAGAAACGGAGACGAATTGACCGGACCATGATTGGGGAACCAATGAATTTTGTCCATCTGACTCACATTGGCTCCGGGGAGATGGGTGCCGGAGATGGACTTGCCATGGTAACAAGGGAATGGGGAGAGATTGATATGGGATTGTGGCCTAGAACCTTTCCCTTCTTTTGAAGTTTAAGCAGGGGACATGATAAATACTTGATGGGGAAGTAAAAAGCTAGGATTCTAGTCATGCTCACCAGCTGCACAAACCAGAGACCTGGCCTAGACTCCCTCGTTTTTACAATTAGCAGATTGTTCTTCATTGGGATGGGGGATATATATGACTCAAGAATTCTTTGGAGGGCTTTTTCCAACAACTAGAACCCTTTTATTAATTAAGAACTGCTATCCAGTGCCATAGTAATTCATATTGTGGCTTGGTGTGTTGAGGCAGTTGAAAGGCTGAGCACCCCTGTCTTAAATAATGTCTAATACTCTTTTCTGCTCTCAAAGTAAGGGAAGTGGGTCTGGAGATAGTGAAGGAGTCTCTTCACCAATTGTGAAACTCAGATAAATATGAGAGAGTCCTTTGTGAGAGATAAAAGACCCATTTTATTTCATCCTCATGAGAGTCAGTATGAAGGCAGACATTGAGACTTCTCTTGGAAGAATGGCTGTTGGTTTTAGCTTTCTCAGATTGATTTTCTTGCCAGGGAGATGGGGTCAGCCTCTTCCACAGAGGGCATAAGGGAGATTGCTTACTGTACAGTATCAAGACTTAGAACTAGGGTCTCACACGTGCTTTTTCACAGACAGGTGCAGTTCAGGAGCAGATGAGATCCAAGGGAAACCGAGACAGGCCATGGAGCAATTCTAGGGGATTGTAGCTCCAACTGAAATGGTAAGTGATTAGAGAAGCCTGTTCAATACCTCCTGCCCCTGTCAACACATCCTAATGCCCTGCCTCAGAACCCTGATCCTCTGCAAGAATGAGAGGTGAGAGGAGGAAGAAGAAATTAGAATGGAGGAGTTAAGAATTTAGGATCCAGAAAGGCAGAGAGACAGGGAGGTGCAGACAGAAATCGAGAAAAAAGCACACTGGAAATAGTGGAGGCTGCACTAGGCCTCCTCCCTGCCACCTCAGTTTTCCTTGAGGCTTATCTTCCTTCTTCAATTTCTTTTTTGATCAGGTTCTGCTGTCTGAAGCCTCCACCACATGTCCAGCCCAAAAGAGATGCTGCCCCTCCTGAAACCGTGACCCCAAGGCTCTTCTTTTCCCTATCTGCCTGTTAGTGCCTCAGAAGGCTTGGGGGCTGGACTCCCTCTATTCCCTCTGGCTGTAGCCCCTCCTGGAGATGGGGTCAAGGCAGCAGGACTGACCAAGTGACTACTGGTTGGCCAGAGGAGCTCAGCTGAAACCCTGGACACTCTTCAGATCTGAGATAGGAGTTTTCTGGGAACCTGGGATGCATTCCCTTCTCCTGAATGACGGTCTAGGTGCCATCTGTTTTTAAACTCTTAACCTGGAACTCCTTAAATAGGGTAGGTGGGTGAGGTTACCAAAGCTGAAGCCGGCTTTGCTGAGAAGCTCCTTACCTCCCTGGCCTTCTCCTTTTTCCTCCTGGGATGAACTGAAGCAGACGTCAAGCAGGGGGTAGGAGGTTGACCACTGCCTAGTCTACTCTTTGTCTTTAGATCTCAGACCTTAAGCTCACAGTCCTTCAATATCTCTTTGCCACTACCAGCTCTTTCTCTATTTGGCCTCTAAATTACCCCCTTCTTCTTCTACCTCTACCCTTAACCCCATCCCCATTACAAACCTTATTGTTTCCCATTAAGAGCTAAAAGTAAGAAGTGGATCTTAACCTGATGGTATCCTGTTTAAGTCTTGGAGACCTGGCCACCCTCTGCCAATCTCCCTGCTGGTCCAGGTGAGGAGGAAGAGGGATCTGGAGAGAAACCCAGAATACTCCAAAACTAGACTCAGAGTGGACTTCCTAACCATTGAGGATCAGAGGGGTGACAGGTTGAAACAATCATCTGAGTTTAGGGATCTTAAGATCCTCACAGCATGGGAGCAGGGGCACCTTTAGAGAAAGGATTCTCAACCTGGGCACATATGACATTTGAGTTAAGTAATTCTTTGTAATGGAGGGGGACTGTCCTATGTATTATAGGATGTTCAGTAGTATATCTGGCCAACCATAGTTATGACAACCAAAAATGTCCCCAGATATTACCAAGTTTCTTCTAGGAGGCAAAATCACTGCCAGTTGAGAGCCACTTCTCTAGAGTCAAAGTATTTTTCTCTAAAGCGTTTTCCCCACTCTACTCGTGTCCCATTATTCATCCTAAGCCTGAGCCATAGATGAACCAGGTCCTCTTGCAAAGTAGGCTCAGTAGGGCTACACATATCTCTAGAACAGTTCTTTATTCAGTGTGTTTCTTGTGCTTGCATGGGTTCATGTCTCTGATGAATGTGTACGATGCTTCTCCATTCTTGTTTAGAGGAGGGGTTCCTGGTGATGTGTAGGCGTGAACAGAGTATGGTGAGATTGAGAAAAGGAGAAAAAGCAGTAGAGCCACAGACACCCAGGATTATCGTCTGCAAACTTCAAACTCTACTTCTGTGCCCTAGTGCTAAAACCAGACACAAATAAGACTCAGGGAGTTTTGTCTGAAGACCAGGTCCCACTCCCCACCAGGCCAAAGAGTCTGCTTTAGGTGGGAAAATAATGCAGGAGCAGGGTCTTTAGGCAGTTTGTTTTCTCAGGGGTTTTTTCTTCTGGCCCCTTCCTTGCACGGTGGTTAGAAAGGCAGAACAAGACTGGTGAGCTCCTGCCTTCTTGGAGATGGGTATGGGGTGGGGGGTGTCTCTCATTAGCTCAGTAACAAGATACAGCCTGTTTGATGGCGATGGGGTCAGGAAGGTGGGAACTAGGATCCAGTCTGCTGAGTCCACCATCCATCCAGTTTGCCCCACCTATAGTGACAGGTTCTAATTTCATTCCAACTTCAGTATATTTGCTGCCACCACTTTTCAGGGTCTAAGGTCGGTCATACATTCCCAGTTTACTCTGTTCTAATCTAGCTAGTTGTTCTGAAAGTAGCTCATCTTGTTGTCCTAAAGTAGCTTAATAGCCTAAGGGTTATATTCAATCTGAAGGGTTAACAGGATAGGGTAGAAAGACAGGAGGACTCGAGGATTGTCTGGTCACCCTGATCTTCCACCTTATTCTAATGCCTTTTCTTTGGACACAGCCTTTGGTGTTCTCTTGCCTTTAGCTACCTTTTCTAACATGTATGCTACCATCACTTTAACAATATTTGAGAGTGATGGAAATGGGTTTGAGAGTCATAATTTATATTAAAAATGTGTTGGACTTTTAAATACATTTTTCAAATAAAAAAAAGTTTAAACAAAATAGCCACAGAGTAATCAATACGGGCATGTGTTGAGTCAAAGGATAAATATGGTTGATGGGGTGCCTGGGTGGCTTAGTTAAGTGTCTGCCTTCAGCTCAGGTCATGATCCCAGGGTCCTGGGATCAGCCCCACATTGGGCTCCCTGCTCAGTGGGGAGTCTGCTTCTCCCTCTCGCTCTGCCCCTCCTCCCTGCTCATGCTCTCTCTCTCTCTTAAATAAATAAAATCTTTTAAAAAATAAATATGGTTGATCAAGGTAACTCCTAGAAGGTAGCCGACATAGAATTTTGTGCTGACATCGACCTTTGCAAAGAGAGGCCAAGTATTATGAAGGCCTCCATAATCTTCCAAGGGCTCAACTCGTTCTTCCTGTTCCCTCCTCTTGACAGTCATCTGAGATTTTTCAAGTCTTTTTTTTTTTCTTTTTAAGATTTTATTTATTCATGAGAGACACACAGAGAGAGGCAGACACATAGGCAGAGAGAGAAGCAGGTTCCCTGCAGGGAGCCCAAAGCAGGACTCCATCCTAGGATCCAGGGATCACAACCTGAGCCAAAGGCAGACATTCAATCACTGAGCCACCCAGGTGTCCCATCAAGTCTTTAAACAATCACTTGTTTAGAAACAACTTTGGAAATGAGGAAGAGGAGCAACATCAACATTTTATCTTATATTTTATCCTGGGGGTGGATAAAATATGCTGGGGGATAAAGGAAGGGATCAGGCCCAATGTTGCTGGCCACACAGTTCAGTTTTAAGGTTCATTCTTTTTTTTTTTTTTTTTTTTTTTTTTTTTTTTTAATGAGAGACACAGAGAGAGAGGCAGAGACATAGGCAGAGGGAGAAGCAGGCTCCATGCAGGAAGCCTGATGTGGGACTCCATCCTGGGACTCCAGGATTATGCCGAGTCAAAGGCAGGCACTCAACTGCTGAGCCACCCAGGTGTCCATCCCCAGTTTTAAGGTTCAAAAGATTTCTGGTCTCCACCCTCAGATACCTCTGTAAAAAGACGCAAGACCAAACAATTTTTTCTAGTTTTGTTTTTCTGTACTAAAAATATCCAGTGGGTGCTGGGATTGAAAGGGGTGGAAAGGTTGAGATGCTGACACCTTCTCTTGTGGATGAAGTGGCCATTACCTGCGGTTTCTCTCTATCTGGGTAAGGAAACAAAAATAGAGAAAAAGGGGAAATATTATAACTACATCTATATTCTTTTCCCTTCCTTGCTTCATTTCCCTCTCCCCAGAAGCGCTCATTCCCTCAACGCTACTGCCCCCTATTGCTGCTGCTTTTTCATATTGAAATAATGGTATTGGATACCCAAGGAGAAAGACAAAAACTGGCAAAATGACTGACCACGTATACTATTTTATTGTCCTTCCCTCCCCCCCAAAGGTCCTGAAATCCTGTCAATTGAGAGTATTTTATCAAATCAATCAGAACTTTTGGTAGTTCATTTGGTAAAGCAGAGGACTATCCTTCCTGGAGAAAATTCTTAAGTTGCTGGAAATAACCCCAGGAGCTCTTTGGGATAGTGGTGGTTAGGGGCATCGGCATTAGTGTCAAACAATCCTGTCATGACTGGCATTTACTGGCTTTTTAAACCCCATTCTTTCATCTGTAAAGTGGAGATAGTGCCTCACAGCATTGTGAGGATTGATCCAGGTAAAGTGCACCTCAAACATTGGCTCTTACTATTAAACTGCATTAATAAGCTGAGAACTATTAATACCTTCCTATTATCTGCATCAAGAATTGTTACATCTATAATCACAATTTGGTCAATAACCCTCTCATGATTAATAATAGTTGTTGCCCATTAATAACCAGTAGTTGCTTAAAGAATAAGTGGAATCAATGGCTAACAATGTGAATAACCAGTATATTATGAATCAAGTGAGCATACAATACTTGATGCAACACACTGGCTGGTTTAGTAACAGGATTTTGGATATCAGGACTTTTCATCAACACAGATCCTGGCTATCACCAAACACTTACTGGTTGCATCTCTGTGAACACTGAAGACAGACTGTTCCAAATATCCTCCAGCCCGATCCTGACTCGTCTCCAAAAAGCAAGGGCTGGACTGGGGCTGGGGCTGGGGCCAAAGAAAAGGAAGGGGGTGGGTCTGATCCTAGAGCTGAGGGGGGGCAGGGAAGTGGCGGTGGTGCTGGGGGGGGTGGTGCTGCTGGTGGTGGTGGTGCTGCTGGTGGTGGTGGTCTGAGAGGTGCAGCTGCTGTCAGAGCAGAGATCGGCGTCCAGAGGGCACTCCTCCCGAAGCCGATTGCAGGGACATTTCTGATAGGTACAAGGCCGGTGCTCCGTGCGGAGCTGGCTCAGCGCCCCAACTCGAAGGCGCCCTGAAAGGCCGTGCAGCTTTCCCGCCCGGGTCCGACTCATGGTACCTGACCTGCAGTGGCAGTGCCACGGGCCCCAGGGCATCAGGACCAGGTGCACGTCCTCGGGAGGCGGCATGGCCGTGTGCGAGGCCGGTAACCAGCGGTTTGGGGTGGACCCCCCCGTGGACCACCGGCTCATGGTACTGTCGGGGTGAGCCACGTCCCCAGTGGGCTGCCAGGTGTTGGCCGGCACGTCTGTAGACAGCCTGATCTCAGGCTCCTGGGTGTTTGCTTTAAACCTGGAGCTGGGCATCCTCGTTGTCCTGCTGAAAGCTTTTCCGGTGATGTTATTCCTTCTGGCGTTAATCACAACCCCCTCTTCCAAAGACTCATCCTCCTCCGACGACGACACTATCGACTTGCTGACGCCTGTGGCCACTGTGGAGGCCAGGAGCTCCGCGGCAGCCGGGCCGGCCAGGCGGTCGACACTGGCCCCGACATCATCCTCATCCTCCATTGTGACTTTCATCCTCTTGGGCCCGCCGCTCCGGAGGGTGGTCCGGTAGTTGCGGGACATGGGGACCCCGAAGCGGACCCGCTGCGTCTCGGTGGAGGTCAAGCCCTGGGCCCCCGCCGCCCGGGGCCCCAGACTCAGCAGCAGGACCCAGAGAAACGCGCCGGCGGCGGGGACCATGGGGCCGGGCGGTGTGCCGCTGAGACGGAGGCCAGTGAGGGAGGCCGGGCTCCTACTCCTCTTCCTCGCGGCCGCTGTCGACCCGGGCGGGGCGTTTGAACCGCGGCCCGCGGAGGGAGGGAGGGAGGGAGTCCCGCGCGCGCCACGCCCCTCCCCCAGGCCCTGTCGGAGCCGCCCCAGGGCCCAGCTCTCCAGCCCAGGAACCACTGCGGCCACAACACGGAGCCCCTGGGCTAACAGTGCATCTCGTCGGAGCGGAGCTGAAATCGAGCAGGGCAGTTTATTAACCGCTATAGATCTGAATTTGCTAAAGAGGACAAAAGGACAAGTTTGAAAAGCATCCCTTCCCAGGTTCACGCTAGCAGACGTGACAGAGAAGGAAAGGGCAGCTCTTCCAAGATTTAGGGAGTGAGTCTTGGTTCCCAAACGACAGGCTGGCTGCGGTCAGTCGAGCCCTGCCCTCCCCTCCCCTCTGGCGGAGTTTCACAGACTGGTAGAGTGCCCCAGGGCAAGAGGGTCTGGGCACCTTCATTCACAGGGGAGGACAATGACACTCAGAGATGCAGGTATCTGGGCCAAAGGGCTGAGGCTGAAGCAGGACTGAGAGCCATAGCCTGGCCCTCTCCCACACAAGATGCCACTACATGTGCCCCTACAGCTGAGATGCTGGTCAGCCTGCAGGTCACCTTCTGGACCGTTGGAGTCCTGCTTTGAAGGCAAGGTCATGAGAGGAATGAAACCCCAGTGAGATGTGAAGGTCTGGTGGTACTGGGGTGGAGGATGCTTTACTTTAGGGAAGAGCCCAGATGTTTCAGGGTTAGGGTCCAGGCAGATCAGTTTCTTTTGCTTGGTTCTAAGGCCTGCTATGTCCCTCCTGAGCCATGGAGACCCGGTCCAGCCTAGGAGAGAATGATAAAAATGTGGCACAGGAGCAGGACCTGGGTTTTACTCACTGATTTGGGGAGAGAAGGCAGAGAACTGTTAAGAGGCAGAAGATTGGGTGCTTGAGCTGGTGGTGATCAGGCTTCTTTGTCCCCTAGTACCACCCCACTGAGTACTTTCTCCTCTTTACTGCCCTTCTGGATTTCCATGGCTCATCTCAATCTCTAAATTCTGTGCTGTGAATATTCCTTTATTCTCTGATGCCTCAGCACTTATAATTTTTTCATTTGTTCTTGTTTGATACAGGCCTTACCTTCTCTGGGTGGGTGCAGTTTCCCCAGATACATCAAAGCATCTGGAAGCAGGGCCTCTATCTTTGAGTTCCTCTGCATCTCTCCCAAAGCATTAAGAAAGTAGGAACTGGCTTTATACATCCCACCCCAAACTTAGTCTCGGGACTCACTGTCTGACAGCTTCAGGAATGTGAACCTGATCCAAGGAGATGAGTTGGGCCAGCTCTCCCAGGCTGTTCAGAAAACGGATCTTTCGTGTAAACTTGGAACTGAAAAGAGAGGATAAACCAAGTTGTGTGTTGTACTGGGAAGAGGGTTCCTGGAGATCCTTATGAAGGGAAACGTGACAAGTAGAGCATGGTTAGGGCTAGAAAGAGCCACAGTGAGGCCAGAGCTGCTTAATCTTGATTTTGAAAATGGGGAAAGGTAGGTCCTTGTCCCCAGAGCTGGTACCTGATGAAGGGCCGAAGCAGTGCCAGGAATGCCTTCACATACCACGTGGCATGGACAACCACCAGGGCACGCAGGTTTTTCCGGAGCCTGAAGAATAGGAATGATATCATTCTTTTCTTCTTCCATATTTTTTTTCTTTTTCCATCTTCATGTCAGAAGATTAGGTGGAGCTATTGTCTGTGCTTTAACTTCCTTCACTTCTCCAAGTTTCTAGATTTCTCTGGCAGTTGGTCTAGTCCCCACTCCTTGGCTTGTAATCTGAGCTCCACCCATCATGTTTAGTCTTTCATGCTCCTCATTTTCAGGCAACTCCCTTGTCAGAATCCCTTTGCACCATCTCCCTCCTGTACCCTACTCTCATATAAGTTCTTGGCTATTCCCCCTTTCCCAGGCCTCCCATGACTGGGACAATGGATAAAACTCCACATGGAGGAAGACCAGTGAGGAGAAACAAAAAAGAATGAGGAAGAAAAGTGAGCAAAAGGAATAAGTGGGAAAGAAAAAGGGAGAAGGAACATTGCGGAACACAAAGCCATATGGGTCAGGGATGAAGGCAAAGTGAAGCAGACCATGGCTGCCTGGGAGGTAAGCTAAATCATGAGAGGTGAGAAAAGGAAGGAGGACCTTCTATGTGCCAGGCAATAGGCCACACCAATTTACTGGATTTTCATACATGCCCAGTGGCAAAGGGATTATTGTTGCCAGTTTGCAGAGAAGGAAACAGAGTCCCAGCAATGTTCAGTGACTTGTCCAAGGTAAATGATACAGGAGGTAAATGATTGAGGCAAGATCTGAAACCAGATTTCCCTGACTCTGAGAGTACAGAAGACATGAGAGGCCTCGAAAGGGTGGTAGAGGGACCAGAGAAAGAGGAAGGGACTAAAGGGAAGAGGAAAGAACAGAAAGAGGGAAAGAGAAGGTGCAGAGGGAGCTGCAGCCCTGCTGTCCTTGCAGCTCACCGCCGGTCCAGAGTGTGGTAACACTGGCGCATCCAGCCCAGAGGCGGGACCTGGGCCCTACTTGTGCCTCCACTCAAGTGCACGAGCAGGTAATTTTCAGCTACCAGAAGCTCCAGAGTTCCCACCATATACCTGGAGGAGACAGAGCTGTCAAGGAAGGTACATGCTTGGGGTTGTGGGGAATGAGAGGGACATTACTGTAGACTCTACAGTCAGCTGCTGATGGTGCAGGAGGGGCCTTTTTCACTTTTCCCTCCCTAACATCCCTATTGGAGTCTTTCAGGGCTGCCACCTCACCTGAAAAGGTGCTCCATGACATAGGTATAGTTGGGGATGCTGCTGCTGGGGAGGTAACAGGAAGCAAAGACGATGACAGCATTGAGGCCCTCACCATGGTAACCTGGAGGACAAGGGGAAAATTCATTCAGGCAGCAACTATATATGACAGACGGTACATCTGTTTGGGCTGAGGGACTCTCAGGGTCTCTGGAAGTTACAGAAAGGATTTTGAACCTGGGAACTGAGTTTCCAGCTTTTGCATTTTATTTATTGATTTATTTATTTTTGCATTTTATTTTAGAAGTCACAGTTGTTACCCCACTGTTATGCTAGCCATTACCTCCATGAGAGAGGACTTTCTTATAGTGTTCAATGACAGTCATGTCCACTCGCTGCTCCCTCTGTCCTGTTCGGAACACCCTCCAGTGACGACCATCTTCTCCAGCCACATCCCGCATACAAGCCCGGCCCAGCCTTTCCACTGCCTCACTGGCCCCCAGCCCCTCTGCCCGGGGTAGGTCATCTGAAGGAGAGGGATGGAAGATGATCAATAAGGCACAGTACACACCTTCAGGATTTTCTAACTTTGTCGGGGTCTGGGAGTTGAGTACTCTAACGTCTCATTCCTTAGTTTTTTTCCAGGACTCCAGCCCTAGTTTGTCCAAGTAATCCAGTGCCTTGCTAGTTTCCCCTTCCTGGAACTCAAGATCCTCACTTTTTCACTAGATACTGGCCTTGAGGTAACCCTGCACTATGGTAGGTCTATGGCCCTGGCTAGTATTAGTTTTCTTCTGGATTCTTTCTTTCTTTCCATGCTTTTCCTTGGGTGAGCTCATTTGTTCCCAGGTCTTCAATAACCACCAGTAAGGTGATGATTCCAGATTTGCTCCTCTAACTTAGATGTCTCTCCTGACCCCAGACCCATGTCCCTAAATGCTTAGAGTGGACATCTCTAGTTGTGTCTTTCTGTCATCTCCAAGCCACCAGACACTATTGTAACTCAAACTCATTCTTTTCTTCATCTCTCCTATATTTCCTTCCTTTCTTTCGTTTTCTTTCTTTGCCAAGGAGAGAGAGCACAATCAAGGGGAGTGGCAGGCAGAGGGGAGCAGCAAGCAGGGGAGTCCAAGGCAGGGCTACATCCCAGGACCCTGAGATCACCACCTGAGCCAAAGGCAGCCACCTGACTGAACCCCACCAGGTGCCTCTCATATTTCCTTTCTTGATGAATGAGTCCATCCATCTAGCTGGCTGAGAAAGAAAACTGGTGTCATTCAAAATTTTCTTCTCTGTCATGCCTCAAGCCAACTGGACCCCAGATCTTCTTCTATCTATTGCCATTATATTGTCTTATCATTCTTTCTACTACTACTGTCCTGATTCAGGTTCTTAGTATTTCAAACCTGGACTTCATTCTAGCCTCCTAGCTGGCTTCCCTGCCTCTAGTCTGTTTACTCCATTCCACTTTCTACCCCACAGCTAGAGCAAGCTTTGTTTTCTACCCTTTCTTACTCAAATGGTAATACTATACCTGCTAATTTTGCATGATCCTTCCATAGCAATGGAAACAGCTGCCTCATCTTAAAAAATGGTTTTCTAGGGGCACCTGGCTGGCTCAGTTGGTGGAACATGCAATTCTGATCTTTGATCTTGGGGTCGTGAGCCGCCTGTTGGATGTAGGGATTACTTAAAAAATAAAATCTTGGGGTGCCTGACTGGCTCAGTGGTTGAATGTCTGCCTATCACTCAGGTCATGATCGAGGTCATGGGATGTAGTACCACATTAGGCGCCCTGAGGGGAGCCTGCTTCTCCATCTGCCTATGTCTCTGCCTCTCTCTGTCTCTCATGAATAAATAAAATCTTTAAAAAAAATAAAAACTTAAAAAGAAAGTTTGCTTAATATTTAGTATTCCATTGCATGGACGTACCATATTAGAATTAACATTCAACTGACGGACCTTTAGGTTGTTTCCAACCTCTTTAGAGCCATTAAATCTGATGTTACTCCTTGATTAAAACCATTATTCAGGGATCCCTGGGTGGCTCAGCAGTTTAGAGCCTGCCTTAGGCTTGGGGCGTGATCCAAGAGTCCCGGGATCAAGTCGCACATCAGGCTCCCTAACGGGAGCCTGCTTCTCCCTCTGCCTGTGTCTCTGCCTCTCTCTTTCTCTCTATGTCTCTCATGAATAAATAAATAAAATCTTTAAAAAAAACCAACATTATTCAGTGACGTCTCACTGGCTACAGGATAAACTCTGAACTCCTCAGTATGGTGGCAAGGACCTCCACAATTTGACTCCTGCAAACTTAACATAGCACTCTGATTCAGAAGCTTAGATGACAACTTGGACATGTGACTAGTGTCTGAATTTGAGGGAAATCTTGTGAGTGAGCCCTTAACTTGTGGGGTCTGTACTATGTCCAGTCAAATGTCACAGATGAACTGTAGGATACCCTGTTGATGTCTGGAGAAGTGGAGAATTGGTTGGTGTGGGTAAAACCCATACATTTGGTGTCGGAAGTACCATGATGCTTCAACATGCCATGTTCCTACCCAAGTTGTTTCTTCTACCTATGATGCCTCCCAGCTACCTGATAAAGACCAGCTCAGAATCACCTCTTCTGTAAAGTGTTTCCTAACACCTCTCAGCAGGAACTGACCTTGTCCTTATCACTGCTGACCATACCCTATACATATGTAGACCGTCACCTTTAACCATACTTATTTGTATATGTGTTAATTTCTTATTAAACAGGGAACTCCCTGAGGGTAGGACTATCTTATTCTTCTTTATAACTTGGTTCTCATTCAGTAATAGCATGTAGCACTCAATAAAATTTTCCTTAATAAACAAAGGAAAATTTGTTTGTTTTTGGCACCTCCCCACCCCTCTATTGACTACTCTCACGTTGGATCTACAGGCTCTACCTTTCCATTTTGAGGAAATTAATTTTGCTAACTTTACCACTTGGACCCCACCTTGTTTCTAACTTTAGTCTCCTTAAATCCACCCTGAGCTTCTTTAAATCTAGCTTCTGCTTTTACCAGCTCAGGCCTCAGGTTTCTTTCCCACCTTCCCATTCAAATTCATGTCCACTGTCCAGCTGCTCCGAGTCTGAAGGTGTCTCCAATTCATCCACTTCCAGGTCAGAACTGCCATCAGGAGAGGAAGGTACGGAGTGAGTGGGACAAGTTCCATCGCCTCCAGTCCCCTTAGTCAGATTCAGTCTCAACTCTGGGGCAGAAAGACGTTTACGCATGGGGCGTGGGCCACACAGGGCTAAAGTGCTGGGAGTACCTAGAGTTGGGAGAGAGGAGAAAAGAATAGAAAAAGTATGAGTGTGTTGGCAGGGGAGGTTGGAATACCTGCAAATGGTAGTGATGATATAGGGTCAATTTTTAAAATTTTATTTATTTATTTAAGAGAGAGAGAGAAACTAAGGGAGAAAGAGACTGAGGGGGAGAGGGAAGGGGAGAAGCAGACTTCCTGCTGAGCGGGGACACCCCCCTGATGCTGGACTCGATCCCAGGACCCTGGGATCACGACCTGAGCTGAAGGTGGATGCTTAACCAATTGAGCCACCCAGGCACCTCTATGGGGCGAATTATTATTTTTTTAATTAAAAAAATATTTTATTTACCTACTTGAGATAGAGAGAACGAGTAGGGGGGGAGGACAGAGAGGGAGAGGGAGAAGCAGGCTCCTTGCTGAGTAGAGAGCCCGATGTGGGGCTCGATCCCAGGACCCCAGCATCATGACCTGAGCAGAAGGCAGACACAACCAACTGAGCCACCCAGGCACCCTATGGGGCAAATTCTAAAGAAGAACTTACACAGGGAATATTTAGGAAAAGAGCAGTGGAGGGATCCCTGGGTGGCTCAGCGGTTTGGTGCCTGCCTTCCACCCAGGGCGTGATACTGCAGTCCCGGGATTGAGTCCCACATCGGGTTCCCTGCACGGAGCCTGCTTCTCCCTCTGCCGGTGACTCTGCCTCTCTCTCTCTCTCTCTCTCTCTCTCTGTGTCTCTCATGAACAAATAAATAAAATCTTAAAAAAAAAAAAAAAAGGGCAGTGGAACCAAAAAGGGGTGAGGGTGGCACAGCCCTTCACTGGCTTACAATAAAAAACTTGAGGCCTATGGGATCCCTGGGTGGCGCAGCGGTTTGGCGCCTGCCTTTGGCCCAGGGCACGATCCTGGAGACCCGGGATCGAATCCCACATCGGGCTCCCGGTGCATGGAGCCTGCTTCTCCCTCTGCCTGTGTCTCTGCCTCTCTCTCTCTCTCTGTGACTATCATAAATTAATTAATTAATTAATTAAAAAAAAAACTTGAGGCCTAGATTCTAATTTACCTACCTGCCTGTGAATCTCTCTCAGGATTGTCAGGATCTTCAGAGGGATCTGCTTCTTCAGGAAGAAATCTAGAGGGGAAAGATTACAAGGGAGACAGAAATGCAGGTTAAATGCATTAAGCCAGGTATCAATTTATCAATCCTCTTGCCCTGTCATGTGTTGTTTTTTTTTTTTAAAGATTTATTTATTCGAAAGAGAGAAAGAGTGCAGGAGTGTGTGTGTGTGTGTGGGGGCAGTAGGGTAGGTGGAGGCAGGGGGGCAGAGGAAGAGAGAGGTGGAGAGGGGAGGCGGACTCCCTGCTGACCAGAACCCAAGGCAGCCCTCCATTCCAAGACCCTGAGATCGTGACCTGAGCCAAAACCAAGAGTCAGGCACTTAACTGACTGAGCCACCCAGGCACCCCTCCCCACCACAATTTTATCTTATGGACTCTGCCTTCTTTTTCCCCCTCCTTCCTTCAAGTCCTAATTTATCACCCCTGCCCTCCATTCATAAGTATCCCTCACAATCCTCACCTGGGGAAGTCTTCATCCTGCCACTCCTCCCTCAGCTCCAGTTCCCCAAATCTCAGGGATCCTGCTGGCTTCCGGGATTCGGCATCCTCCATGGCCCTAAGAGTCCCAGGGCAGGGGGTGGGGGGCAGAATGATCAGGAGACAAATGGGGCAGTCTTAAAGGGACTGGATCACAGATAGGAGAGACACTGTAATGGATGATAATTAAGGTATAGGGCAGAGCACAGGCCTGAAAAAAGACGTCAGGTCTCTTGTCTCCTGATACTTCTACCACATCCACTACTTCCTGAAGGCAGATGAATCCTACTGTGGGGTTTAGGAGCAGAGGAAAGATGGAATGTAAGGCTAATCCTATTTGTGTCTATGGTGTTGCTCCACCTACATGGAGTGAGTACAGCTATTCCACGTTACATTGGCTGGAACCTGACAGACCTGCCCAGCTATCACCAGGCAAAGTTGGGGAAGACGGCACCTTGTCAGGCCTGCCTTTCCTCCACCACACTGGGAGTGGCCAGGGGAATCCATGGCAGAGGTGGAGGGGTGGAGGAAGAAGGTAAGGAGGAAGAGGGATTTGTCGAGAAGGGTACCTAAATTCCCTTCTGGGTCAGCTTTCCTGAGGGCCATTCTGGGGAGTGGGTGTTAGAAAACAGACAGTAGGCACAACTTTATCAGACACAAAATAGAGAAACTTCCTTTAAAAACAATAGGGAGGGCAGCCCCCGTGGCTCAGCGGTTTAGCGCCGCCTGCAGCCCAGGGTGTGATCCTGGAGACCCTGGATTGAGTCGTCAGCCTCCCTGCATGGAGCCTGCTTCTCCCTCTGCCTGTGTCTCTGCCTCTCTCTCTCTCCTCTCTGTGTATTCTCATGAATAAATAAATAAAATATTTTTTTAAAAAAATAAAAACAATAGGGAATTTTCCTGAAATCCCCAGGTCCCCTTTTCCTACCTAAAGCCACCCTAACCCTTCTCTGCAAATTCATTCTTTCATAGTCATGTCTCTTCCAGGAAGCCAAGATTTGCCCTGGTCAGAGCTAGATGGTAAGAAAGTCCCTCAAGACTACTCATTGCTTGTTTCCAACCAAATAAGCCAGATCTTACTTACCCAAGATCTAATGTCTTCTCTCCTGCCTCTTGTGTGGTTCCCATCTTCACAGGTCTTCCTGGCTCCCTTAAACACTTGCAGCTCTCCGGGAGCTGGTTGTCCCAGCTCCTAAGCCCTTCTGTATCCTTTTTCTGTGTCTCACTGTTGTTGCTCTTGCCTCCAAGGAGGTGGGAGGTGTGGAAGGGAGGTAACCTTACCTCCAAACAGGTTTTACCACCTCCCTTCCTTTCCCTTCCCTAGGAGGAGGTTTGCCCAAAACAAAAACCCTGCCTATGTGGGGGCGGTTTTAGGGAGGGGAGGACATTTTTTAAAGTGGCTAGTTTTTGGGGAATCGAGGAAGGCAATTTGTTTTCCCTTCCAGACTCCTTATAACCTCCTGGAAGCTGCTGATTAAAAAAATTTTTTAAAGATTGTATTTATTTATTCATGAGAGACAGAGAGAGAGAGAGGAGCAGAGACATAGGAAAAGGGAGAAGCAGACTCCTTGCAGGGAGCCTGATGTGGGACTTGATCCCAGGTCCCCGGGTTCATGCCCTGAGCAGAAGTCAGACGTTCAACCGCTGAGCCACCCAGGTGTCCCTGGAAGCTGCTTAAAAAAAAAAAGGCAATGGTAAAAAAACATTTTCGTTTTAAGACTATGTTTTCAAGCATAAGCAAGACTAGGAACGCAGTTAGTAAGAGGGTTCTGGAAGAGGAAACAAATGAAAGGCCAAGGATGAGGAGAGATGGAAGACTGTTGCTCTTCATTCTCAAAAAGTTAATGAAGGGAGACATTCTATACAGCAGGAAGAAGGGAGATGAATCTTGAGGAAGCTGAAACCATTATCAGAGGGAAAGGCCTGATTATAGTTGTAAAAAGAGACAATAAGACCCCAAACAGGGAAAAAAATGTATTTAATACTTTAACAAAATGCAAAATAAAGTACCCAAGTTACAAAACAAATTCCTTTGGTTCAGTAATCACACCACTATTTTTACCTTCCAATGGCTACAGACATCATCCCCTCAAAGTGAAGTCACACCATCCCCCTCATACTGAAGACGTCATGCCAAAACTGTCTCACATACCCTACTGTTCAGTGGAACCACTAGCAACTTACATGGAGTTGGGCTGTGAGGTAGGAAAAGGGGGAATAGGTCAGTCTGAAGGGAAAAGGGAGTCTACACATGCAGAACAAGTAGTGGGGGAACTCTCTGCCGGATCACTATGGTAGGCATCATACCCCTGTACATGCTACGTGAGGCTGAGTCCCTTGGTACAATCACATATAAATACAGACAATTCAGTCACCCTGAGCATTCCCAGGGAGAACAGAAACAAAGAGAGAAGCAAGGAGAGAAGTGATGGTGACAGGAGGCAGATCACAGAATACTAGAGAACATCTAGTCCAGATCCTTAGTTTTTACAGATGGGGTGAATGAGGCCTAGAGAAATGAAGTGTCTTACCAAGAGACACATAGTTCATGGCAGTTGATATCAGAACTCCATATTTCCTTTCAACGTGAGCAAGAAGAGAACAGTATGGACAAGAAATTGACAGGCCGCAAAGGCCTGCTGTCTGCTGAGAAGAGTGCCTATGTGATCTTAAGGCTTTCCTGGGTGTCCCCTGAACTCTCAAGAACCAAGGAGTCTTCTGGGTCTTTCTGGGACCCCTGTGGCTCTGGGACAGAGGAATCCAAAGAAACTGAGAGCCAGGTCAGCTGACCAGGACAGAAGATAATGGCTTCTGACTGCTCCGCAAGGATCTTAAAAGAGTCATAAGCCCAGAATACAAATGCAACCATCTCAGCTTTGGATACTATCACCTAACTGGGGTCAGAAAGAGGAATCATGGAGCTAGATTCTGCAGAAGTCTGAAAACTGAAATAGGAGTTTGCAAAGCACACTTTTATTTTCTATCTAGCTAAAAGTAGGTATTCAATAAATACCTGAATCAATATGAGCATAAATGAACACATGGACACAATGAATATTTGGTTCCACGTGAAATGCTGGTTTTGTTACAGACTCTTATTGAGGGCACTTCTGGGGTACACCTTTTTGTACTGCTCTGCTGGAACTCTGTGGTATCACATTGTACCCCTGGTAAATGAAACAAAGGAGAGTCAGTGCAGATTTGAAGAATTAAATTAAATACAATTTGTCTGATTGGTAGAGATCTGGGGGAAAGGCAGGAAGCCATCCCTGAAGCAGCTGTTTTCTTTCGCTTCTTTCTTCTCCCCAGTACGTGAACACAGTACACCAGATCCTAGAGCAATGAAGATGGGACTGCCGGTACATCTCAAAACATGCATTTCAAATGGTTCGAGCAACCTCTCTCACCATCCCGTCCCCTCCCAGCAGTCACTTCTTGGACAGGGAGGCAGCAGTCGACTGTGATAGAGAGATCTGACTGCACTTCTCAAAGATGACTTCAGCTGAGAGTTTAGGCAGCCCCTGATCCAGAGGGCACTCATCCACCAAGCTGTTCATGGGCGTGGGGGGCAGTGGAGGCTCCTCCTCATCTTGACTCAGTCCAGGTACCAGGGAGTTACCTGCCCTGTCCAATTCCTTGTCTGACTGCTCCCTACTCACACCCTCTGTCTCAGGCTGCCCTGAAGGGATCTTCATGGAGTCAAAATACGCTGACAGGGCCTCCTGGAGCAGAGGCAGAAGTTTCTTCCGAGAGACCTGGGTGTTGCCCTGAAGATAGGCTTGGAGGTGAGGGTGGGTGCTTGGGGCAGGGGTCAGCTTCAGGGACGGAGAGTGGGAGCGTTCCAGAACTCCACAGATCTAAAGAGGAGACAAGATGGGGAGATGGTACATAAGGTGGGGAAGCAAACAGCTGTGGTTTCTAAGTTAGAGGCTTCTTTTACAAAGAAACATATATACATACACATACATTTATTTATTTATAAAGATTTTATTTACTCATTCATGAGAGAAAGAGAGCGGCAGAGACATAGGCAGAGGGAGAAGCAGGCTCCCTGTGGGGAGCCTGATGTGGGACTTGATCCCAAGATCGTAGGATCATGACCTGAGCCGAAAGCAGATGCTCAGCCACTAAGCTATCCAGGCGTCCCGAGAAACATTTGTTTAAATTAAATCATCCAGAATTCAATCTTATTGCTTCCAAAAAAGGCACATTAGTTAATACATATAGCAGCTGGAAACAGAAGAAACATTTGAGATCATATTTTCATTTTATTGAAGCAAACCCAAGCCTGAAGAGATTATCTTGAACAAAATCAAGTAGATGATGGGAGAGTATGAACCACAACTCAGGACCTCCTCAGCTCCTGACCTAATGTTGTTTTCAAGTGCTTAAAAACTTGAACTCTGTCCTTAGCTAGAATGGGACAAGCATCTAGACTGAGGTCAGGGACAAGACCGATGCAGAAAGAATGAATAGATCAAAGTGGGGGTGGAAGGTATGCCAGGCGCGGTGCCGAGTCTGCCCATTCACAAATATTATCTCATTTAATCATCGCAACTGCCTTATAAGATTGGTATTAGTATTACCCTCATTTACAGGTAGGGAAACAGAGGCTTAGGTGGATGGATGAATAGCTTGCCTAAGGTCATAGTTTGAATGAAGCAAAACTGACACTTGAACCCAGGTCTGCCACCAAAGCCAGTATTTTTTTTTTAAAGATGTATTTATTTATTCATGAGAGACAGAAAGAGAGAGAGAGAGAAAGAGAGGCAGAGACACAGGCAGAGGGAGAAGCAGGCTTCCCACAGGAAGCCCAATGTGAGACTTGATCCCAGAGCCCAGGATCATGCCCTAAGCTGAAGGCAGATACTCAACTGCTGAGCCACCCAGGCGTCCCCAAAGCCAGTATTCTAAAGACTCTTCTATACATAATTTCTAACATAGGAGGGAGGAAGAGGAAATGGCAGGGCACACTGTGAAAAGAGGATTCCCATTTCCCAGGACAAAGGCAGCCTGTGAGGGGGGGAAGACTTTGGCCACCTGTACAGCTTCAGAGAACAGCCCAGAGCTGGTGTGGGAGGAAGAAGGTGGGGAGAAGCACTTCTATGGCCAGAGCACCCTTTCCTTTATGACATGATTAGTAAGAGCCAGCAAATGCTGGCAAATGCTCTGTGCCCAGCAATGTGCTTTATACACGATATTGTTTATTTTTTAAAAATATTTTATGTATTTGACAGAAAGAGAGAGAATACAAGCAAGGGGAATGGCAGGCAGAGGGAGAGGGAGAAGCAGGCTTCCCACTGAGCAGAGCCGATGTAGGGCTCAATCCCAGGACCCTGGGATCATGACCTGAGCCAAAGGCAGACGCTTAACCAACTAAGCCACCCAGGACACCCCCAATATTATGTTTAATGACCATATCAGACTAATCAGTGGGTGGTGTTATGCCATGTACAGACTCAGAAGTCAACTGACTTGCTTGAGCTCAAAGAGCAGATAAGTGGCAAATCTGGAACAGAAACCATGTCCGTCTGCTTTTTAAAACTGTAGTTCTTTCCACAGTGCCACACTAGCACCTTCTACTGAATAAAATTACATCTGCTTCCTGAAGAGAAGAAAGGATGACATATCTTCTATGGATGCAAAAGATAATCTGGCTATATGCAGACTTTAGCAGTCCTCACACAGTCCAAGAAACCCCAAACATTTCTGGACTGTGTTAAGCCCACTTTTAAATTCTTCCCTGGGGATCTCTGGGTGGCGCAGCGGTTTGGCACCTGCCTTTGGCCCAGGGCACGATCCTGGAGACCCGGGATCGAATCCCACGTCGGGCTCCCGGTGCATGGAGCCTGCTTCTCCCTCTGCCTATGTCTCTGCCTCTCTCTCTCTCTCTCTCTCTGTGACTATCATAAATAAATAAAAATTTAAAAAAACTTCTTAAAAAATAAATAAAAATATACTCTTCCCTGGGCTAATCAGTAACCAACAGAGGAAAAGAAAGGGGAAGAAGTGGGAAAAGTGGCCTAATGGTTCAGGAAAGAAAACAAACTTGCTCTTAGATCCCTTCTCTACAGAATTAGTGGTAGATACAGTAATTCATCCCTGCATGATTAATTAAGTAGTAGAAAAGGCTTCTCTTGTGTTTCCCATTTTTAAGGCAATAGGGTGAAATGAAAGAAACTGATTTTCAGGGATGAGGAATTAATGATTAAACCAAGAAACATGTTTTAACTCTAGATTTATCACACTGCCTTTTATTATTATTATTTTTTAAGATTTTATTTATTTATCCA